TCCACCCCTCTTAGTTCCTGGGGCCTCTGAGGGTTCCCGCAGGTCTGGGAAGTCTGTCCCCACGTGGAATGTGCGCCATGTGTGGGAGTCCAGGGCTTTGTTGGGGTCACCTCTCTCCCCGAGTTCCCTGGCAACCCCAGCTGAGTTTGTAGCGGCCTTACAGCTTGGGGATGCCCAGAGTGTGGGGCTGAACTGGCACAGAGATCATGGTGGAATCACCCAGAAAAGCTTCCAGGCCTCTGTGGAATCTCTTGTGCTGTCATCATTCAAGCAGGCAGGTGGCAGGTGGATAATTGTAGGTCCAGCTTAGCCTGATGTCTTTGATAAGCTTGTTTTATTTTGTTTTGTTTTGTTTGATAAGTGCTTTTATGGGGTATAAATGAAGGCTATATTTTATCTGTGGGGAGTTTCTGTGTTTGGAGAAATAAATAGCTATGTTTTATGTCTTTGCCAGCATGTCTCTGAGTGGGCCCCCTCAAAAAGCAGAGTGTGTGTGTGTGTGTGTGTGTGTGTGTCTGTCTGTGTGTGTCTGTGTGTGTGTGGTTGCCTCTAGACTGAACAAGTCAGTGACCTTGATTTCCATATGTGCCCACCCACACTCAGCCTCGTCTCCATGCAGAGTGTGGATTTGTAAGACACAGAGCACTGAAGAGATGACTGGTCTCATAAGTTCCCTTCTGTGCTTCCCATAGAGGGGGTGTGAGACTCAAGTCTTCCTCCCTGAAAGGCAGAGTCCTCCAAAATCACATTCACATGCCCCTTTGAGTCTCCCGCAGGGGGACCCTGCTGTCCTCAGGGCTCATGGCCCTGGTGCCCCCTCTCCTTGTCACTCAGCACCTTGTTAGTGCTGCCTCCAGTCTGTGAGTGGAGAAGGGCAGAGGGGCCTCCCATCCATGGGGTGGGGTTCTGGGAGGTAGGGGGAAGCTTCACCTGTGCCCTCACTCCCTGGTCCCCTGGTGCCATCCATGTCCTGTTTCTTAGGTCACCCCAAGCCCCTCCGTGGAAAACTGGATGCCACAGGTGCAGTCCCTGAGCCAGTGCACATGTCGGGCAGCGAGGCAGGTCTGGCACAGATGGGCTGGGGAGAGGGGTCCAGTACCATTGGGGACATCTGGTGAGTCAGATCGCAGGGTCCGTTTGTCCTTACATTCATAGACCGCAGAGGTGTTTGTTCTGTGACACCAACACTCCATAACAAAAGGCTTACCAAGATGGCCATGGCAGCAGGACTCTGAATGGCAGGTATCTGGGCCTCATGGCAACTCAGGGCATCCTGGCATACTCAGTGCCCTTTCAAGTCTCTCGACTGGGTTCAAGACTGCTTGGTCACTTGGCCTTCACAGGCCCCATGCCTGGTGGACCCCTCCTGGGGTAGCCTCCTCCCTGCCCAGCCAGGACATCAGTGTAGTGGGCATGGCTGGGATCTAGTTGCTCAGGAGGCTCCTTGGAACCTCCCTCAGGAGGTTGGTTCTGAGGTGGAGTCTCTGGAATGCTAACAGGCCATGGGTAGGGTGGGAAGTGTGTGGAATTCTCTCCACAGGCTGCTCAGGAGTGACTGCCATGGTCTCCTTAGTCACAGCAGGTCCCCGGACCAGAGCCCTGGAAGAGAGTCTAACCATCAGCAGTGGGTAGATGGAGCCTCATGGCAACTCAGGGTATCCTGGGATACATCAGCCCCAAGGGGCCCCAGGCTTACTCAGGGTTGCAGGCCCGTCCCGCATCCTGCTGCCCACCAGGGAACAGCGTGGGATAGAGGAGCCTTCCCGAGCTCTAGTTTACAATGTGAGACAGTGCTTGTGAACTGGACGAGGCTAAATTGAACTTACTTACCCTTGTCTATGGTGGGATTTACGATGTTAATTTGAAAGTTCAGAAATAATATCCCAGACTTTGTAGAAAGAAAATCAGGATGTCAGCAGAGTGAGGAAGTTGCTGTGGCCACAGCCTGCCTGGAGATGGGCCCCTGGGCCCGATGACAGCCTTGTCCTCCGCCCCGTCCTCTGGCTTCTCATTCCCATGTGAGGTCATGTAATAGCAGCTTAGATTTTAAATTTCAGGGCAAATGTTACCATAGCAGGTTCTATGAAATGCCGTCGTCGTCATATCTCACCAAGTGCTTATCGGGGACAGGGTCACTTTTTAAAAAAAGCATTTTGCCTAATTGTAAAAGTAATGCAAGCTCATTGTCAAGGTTGGGGGAAACTAGACTGAAATAAAATGACCCGTCATTCTGCCACCCAGGGTGGAGGCTGTCTCCATCTGATGCGAGTGCGCATGTGGGCCCTTGCCAGCTTGAGTGGTGTCTGCGTTGTCACAGACGACCGAGGCGCTCGCAGACAGGCTGCCGGGCCTGATCCGGGAAAGGGACTGCGGGAGGGGCGGTTACTCCCCCAGGGAGCGAACACCAGTGCCTGGGCTGAGCAGCCGGGTGCCCTTTCTTGGCCCCACACAAATAATTTGTCTCCCCAAACATGCTCAGGAGTAGGTTGAGATGTATCACATGGACTCTGCCCTCGGTGATAGGTCATAAAATAGGGTCATTCAAGTTATCTGCTTCGCAAAGGTGGCTTCCCATGTGTATTTTTCTCCTGATTTTTTAAATGACTGCATCAGGCACTTTTTCCCAAAAAGGCAATTTACTCTGGCTCTGGGTCCCACTACCTTATGCATTGTCCATGGGTGGTGGCGGGGGGAGGGGTAGACTCAACTGTGAGATGATTGTTGGGACAGCCAGCAAAATTGGAATATGGACTGTAGGTTAGATTTGTACATTGTATCTGTGTTCAGTTTACTGCATGGGATAACTGCACTGAGATTATGTAAGACACTGTCCTTGTTCTTAAGAAATACACCCAGGCGTCACCTGGTAGAGGGACACGGAGCATGGGGCTTCAGAGAGTGCTTTAGAAAATGTAAGTGTGTGCATGGGAAGGACAGAGGGATTATGTAAATGTGTTGTTCAGGCGTACTTTGTCCTGTTCTTGCAATTTTTCTCTGAGACTTGAAAAATATTCAGAATCATAAGTCAAAAACAAAATACTGTGAAATGTTCAAACAACCCGCGAACCCTGCATTTAACCCTCCCCCCTCTACCCTGCGAGAGCGCAGACGCTGAGACCCTCACTCTTCTGCCTTCCTCTGGAGTGGGACCTGTGCATTGCAGACCCCTGAAATGTCCAGGGATGCCTGTTTTGGAGCTTCATGCAGATGGAAAAGGGGAACCCACGCTGTGCATGTTCTGTCGTGATGGTGTTTGGTTTCTCTCTCCTGCCGGCGACGCTTGGGCCACTTCCGGTGTCAGCGCCGCGAGCACCGCTGCTTAGGATTGGCAAGTAAATGAAATTTGATGACAACAAAAAGGAAAAGGCCTCAAATGCTTGGCCTATTGTCTTTGGACACCTTCCCTCCCACCAGCGCTGCTGTATTGAGTGTGGAGGTGAAGGATAGCGGGACAGGGTGAGGGTCTGTCCCGAAGGCCCAGCCCCACCTGCGGTTCTGCTGGAGCCCTCCTGGCTCAGGGGAGGGGCGCTGGCATGACCAGCCGTGGGGCCAGGTGAGCAGCTCAGGGAGGTGTGAGCACTTCCCCGCACTTGAGAGCCCATCCTGGGAGGAGAGCCAGCTGGACCCCGGAGGTGTTCGCACAGAGATTCTTTGTGGGCATGACTTTCCCGCTCAGGAAAGGCACATGAGTGTTTTAGGCTGTCCTGATCCCCCCAGACTGCCACCATCACATGTCCCCAGCAGAAGTGATTCTGGATGCACCAGCGGCCTCGCTCCCTGCAGAAGGACCTTTGGGTGTGCTGGGTCTCCTTCCCCCAAGCACAGGCAGGGATGGGCCGCAGGTCTCAGGAGGTCTTTCTGCTTCTTGAGGACAATTTTGACAAGCACAAGCATGTTAACTGTGTCCCACTGGCGGGTGCTCCTAGGAGGTCTGGTGAGTCGGGCAGTCTGGAGCTCTTGTCTGGTGTAGTCGTGTCCTCCCTGGTCCTTGCTGTGGGTTCTCAGTGCACAAGGGGCAGGTACAGAACACAGGAGCCCCTGCCCCAAGCAGGCCCTGCCCTGGGACAGCTGCCATCCTGAACCCAGACCTCCTGCCTTTTTTTATGGCTCACCGTGCACATGTGTTTTGACCTATATATGAAAGAGGCACAGCTTGGGTCTTCCTCTGTGGGGGAACTGTTTTGCTCGCCTTATGTTGGGAGATTGGGGTGATGTGTACTGTTGATGGGTGTATTTTGGTGTGTGACTATAACCACGTTTATTCTGCATTCTCTGGTCATTGGAAATGCTTTTCCAGATTTTTTTATTACTATCTCCATCATCTTTTAATGTTCTCCTGGCACCTCTGTTGGAAAAATAAAATTTCTGGATGATAAACTGCCCAGTCTTTGAGGAGGCGTGTGCCTTGAGAGGTGTGAGGGGGTGTATCCCCGACTCTCCAGCTCCAGCATCAATTTGCTCCTCTTGCTGAGGCCCATGCTGATCTGCATGTCAATTGGACACCCTCACCTGGCAGACGGTGTGGTTCTGCCAGCCTCACAGCCGCCTCCGAAGAGCAAATCTGGCTTCAGCAGAAAGCTCCAAAGAGTATGGAATTAGGACAAATAAGTGAAGGATGAAATCAGTGCTGTCAGTGCTGCTAATATGTGGCATATTTTCTCTTCCTGAATCTCCTGTGAAAACTTCTGGCTCTGATCTGACACCACTCCCACATCCCGTGGGCCTCTCAGGCAGCTTCTTCCTGCCCACCCCCCAGCAATGCTGGGGGCCCTGGGGGATTGGGGAAGGGTACCAGTGAACTCATCTGTCCCCTTTGAGGGGGTCATTGTGGTGGGGTCTGCTGCAAGATGCGGCTGCACAGCCCTCTGCCCAGGGGTCTCCTGGCCGGGGTCACTCCGACCAGTGGTAGTTTAGACACTGCACTAATTTTGCTTCACATGCTGGGGAGGGTCATGAGGTGCTTGGGCCGGAGGTGATGCTGTGTCCCTTTCTGTCCCCAGATCACCAAAAGTTGGAGAGAGAGGCTAGAATCTGCCGCCTTCTGAAGCACTCCAACATCGGTGAGCAACACTCCAAGGGGGTATGAGGGGAGGGTCCTGATATCCTGTTTCCTGTGGAGCAAGGAGCCTTGCCTTGCTGAGAATCAGACTTCCAGAGAGACACTGAGAGGCGTCCTTTCCCTTCTCCATTGACATAACCCACTCTCAGGTCACTGGAAACCTGAAGGGATTCCTGGGCTTGGGTAGCCCCCATGAGGCGCCGGGATGGGTCCCTGCCTTCCACTCCTTAACTCTGGGCCGTGATTCTGGTGACAACACACAGGGGCCACAGACAGTCCCATTACAGAGAAAAACGTTTGGAAAACAAAGACCGGACAGACCACACCAGTAGCGGCCCTGGCCTGAGGTCTGATATCCACAGTCTCAACCTAGGGTCTCTCGGACTATGGACAGGGAGGAGAGATCCTGGCTTCTTCAGGTGCTCCTTGGGGGTGCATAGAGCTCTGGGAACCCAGACCTTGACCTCAGGACTGAGTTTGCTCTGCCTGTTGCTCCACGTTGGGTGATCTAGTTGTGGGAACTGCACAACCACTGGGCCATGCTGACTCCCACAGTTGGTGTGGATCTCCGGGGGCCCACTGGCCTCTGTCTGCCCGCACTTAGCCATGTGCCTACTCCTTTTCCTCAGGCTCCCTGCCTCTTTTGTTTTGGTCACTCCAGGGTGCCAGGTCTTCTCCAGCTGTGCAGCTCAGTTGGAAAGACTCAGGGGAATGCAGATTGCTCATTTCCTTGGCAAGTCCCTTGATACAGGCCACAGGCCACTCCAGCCCTAGGCCTGGGCCTACGCCCTTTGTCACCACAGACTCTTAAGGCTGTCTCTTGGAATGACTGGCATGCAGATTCCTGGCTCTGCCCCCAGAAAGCTGACTCAGAGGCCCAGAGTGGACTCAGAAATCTGAATCTTAGGTGCATACCAAGTGATTCTGATGTGGGTGTCCACAGGGACCCCAGCCCATTCTTCACCAGCTATGGAATATTCCAGCAACAGTAGGCTCTGGCCTGACCACCGTACTGGGGCTGTTGCCCCTCTATGCATCTGGGCCTGCTGTCCATGCACCTTATAACCCTGACAGATGCCACCTCCCTGGTCAGCTCTAACAGTACCCTGTCTCTCCCCAGCCTCTACTCCTGCATCCACTTAGCACCCCCATTCTGGAATCCCCTTACACAGGGGAGAAGACCCATCTGTTCTTTGGTTGGTGTTATTTGGGCAGTCCTTCAACACCATGTCTCCTTGTCCTAACTGGATGCTCAGATCAGCCTCTCCTGGTCTGGGGTCAGTTCTGAGCTGTTCCTGAAGTCCTTGCATTGGCTTCATTCCAGAATATGGGAAGCATGTCTGAGACTTTGGGCCTCAGGTGAACCATTCTCTGTAGACTCAGGAGGGGCTCTCTGAGGCATGAAGAGCTGTTAAGACTTCTGGAGGTGATGAAGGCAGCCCCTGACCCTTTGGGCCTTGTTCTCAGCCTTTGGCTTGCCCTGCCCCACCTCTGAGCAGAAGCTGCTCTCTGCCCTCCTTGCCCCCTGCCCTGGGGGGAAAGCAGGACCATGTGCGTTGCAGGCAGGGGCACTGGGAAGGGCCTCCCCTTCTTGTCCTGGCTTACCCAGAAAGCAGTTCCCCATCCGTGAGCACGAGGAAGGAAGGAGCCTCAGTTTCTCCATCTGTAAAGTGAAGAAGGGGCCATACAGGAGGAACTGGGATAATTCACGTAGAGAGCACCATGTCCGCTGGAAAGTTCCCTCTTTTCTGAGATGACCTGCTGAGGTTCACAGTGTGAAGACCTGGACAGGGCCCCACTTCCCTGCTCACAGGCCACAGCAGCTGCTGACTTGCTCTGCCATACTTGCACCTTACCTGTGAGATGGGCTGTGATTGCCGCCACCCCTGGGACTGTTTCATGTGTTAGTTTTCTGTGCTGCCTAACAAATTGCCCTAAACTCAACCAACAAACACTGATTTTACTCAAAGTCTCTATGGGCTCAAGAGTAGTTTAGCTGAATGGTTGGGCTGCTGCATAATTTGTGGGATCAGAGCAAATGAAAAGGTGGGGCCCTTTGTTCAAAAGTTAAGAATTTCAAGATGACAATCCTAGAGCAGGGCTCACATGAGCCTGGGGCCTGGCAGCTTGAGACCGGACACCATGGCTGGCCCTGCTCTGGCTGAAGTGCCATCGTGGACATAGCTGGGGCCGAGTGCTCTGAAGATGTGACTGGAGCGCTGGGATTTCCTTCCAGGGTGGTCCTCACATGACCGTTGGGGGAGAAGGAGGGCCGGCCCTTCCCACGTGGCCTGACCTTAGACCCACTGAGCAGCTTCCAGATATGGTTTCCCCAGAAGAGTGATACAGAGACAGAGAGCAAATATAAGACAGACGTAGAGAGAGTATCAGAGAGACAGAAGAGAATATGAGAGAACAAGAGAGGGGGAGAGGGAAGGAGTCAGTATGATTTACCCCTCAGTTGTGGTGAACTATATGTCACCGTATATGTTAACCATTCTAAGAGTACAGCATACTCAGTCTTATGTAACCATCACCACCATCTGTACCCAAACCTTTTTCATTATGCCCGTGAAACTCTGCCATTAAACACTAGTATACCCATTAAACACAAATCCCTCTTCTCCCTCCTCAGCCCCCAGCACCCACCGTTTTTTCTGTCTCTATGGATTTGACTGATGTGAGTGGAAGTGTGCAGCCTGCAGCCTTTTGTGGCGGGCTTATTTCACTTAGCCTGACGTCCTCCAGGTTCATCCATACTGTGGCATGTGTCAGGATTTCTTTCCTTTTTTAAGGCTGAATAATGCTCCAGTGTGTGGGTGGACCACATTTGCTTATGCGTTTGTTCATCAGTGAACATTTGGTTTGTTGGCCATTGTGAATAATGTTGCCACAACCATGGATATACCAGCATCTGGCTTCAGTTCGTTGAGTGTGTACCCAGGAATGGAATTGCAGGACCATGTGGTAGCTCTGTATCTGCCTTGGGTTGTTTTTGAATTCCCAGACCTCCTTGCTTTTCCCAGGGGCCCTGGGGTAACAGACAAATCAGAGCACGGCTTTGGTAAGGCCCAGTGCCCAGTCAGGGAATGAACAGAGCTTATCAGTCTTGACTCAGAGGGGCACCCTCGGCCTCCCCCAAAACCCCAGTCACCCCCACCCTCCTCCAGGTCTTGTTCCAGCTTCCCCTCAACCTCCCCCAGCCTCCCCTCAGCTTCCTTCCAGCCTTTCCTAGCCTCCCCCAGCCCCTCTTCTGCACATCCACCCTCTCTGGGCCTGCCTCAGATATGGTCAATTCCCACCTCCTGGTTTTTGGAACTGGGAACTGCACCCCCTTACCCTTACCTTGCTCCTGTATGCAAGGAGCAAGGTAGGTGAGCACCAAGGGGCCAGTGGCTCTGGGAGGACCCTCTGCTGAGATAAGGAGGCCAGTGCAGGAGGGGAAAGATTTCCCATCTTCAGCGGCTCAGGCCAATGTTGCCAGCCTCACAAGGCTCTGCCCACAGTTGATTGTGTTATATGCTGGTGGCCCTGCCCGCCTTGTCATGGGCAACACAGGGGCCAGGCAAGGGTCTGAGAGGCTGCTTGGGAAGGGTAGAGGGACGCCCCAGGCCTTGGAAAAGCCAGGGCGGCATAGAAAGGAGAACACCTGTGTCCTCCACCCCCTTGAGGCTGTCACCATCCACTGAACTCAGGTAGCACCTGGACTCCATTTATCTGCCACCTCTGTATGCCACCTGCTGTGTTATTTACTTGCTGTTTTTATTTAAATAGATTCTATGACAATTCACTCTTTTACTTAGCCTGTCTGTGAAATCATGGGTCTGACATGCTAGCTAGGTTTTCTTCTAAACCATCAAAATAATAAGCAACTGTTTTTTCCAAATGTAAAGATATTTTAAAAAGAACGTGTCCACATGGGAATGACTTAGACACCTCTCCCCATACCTGCCCATTTCCTCCAGTGGCCTGAGGGACCTGCCTCTTGGCAAGGAGCTGGGATGCTCGAGCAGGGCCTGGGAGCCTGACCCTCACTTACACTAGGCTGCGGGGGTCTGGAGGGGGTTTGGCCTCCATCAAGGGGAATGACTCACAGCACCTCAACTGCGTGGACCTCCCCCTGCCTCCACCCTCTCACCTGGGAGGTCAGTTCCCCTGCACAGAAGGAGAAAGAGGCCCTCAAAAGTGTCCCTTGGTAGGTTCTGCCTTTGGGGACTTGCAGGCTGGTGGAAGGTGGGTCCTCTCCACCGTGACATCCGGGCTTTCTCTGCTTGGAGTGCAAGTGGAGGCACCCAGAAGTGGGGTGGCTGCTTGAAGAGACTGCCACCCCCACCCCAGAAAGAAATCAGGACCCATGAGCTTTTGTTCACTTCTGTGATTTCTGAGAATGGTCCTGGAAGGAGGCTGCCCGTGCGTGGCAGGGAGACATGCCAGCCTCGGCACCTCTGAGGTCTGGGCTGGAGTGAAGGGGGCTTGGCTCTGCTTATAGTGTGTGCTGGCTAGAGGGAGGTCAGTGTTGGCTTTGCATGGCTGAGGCCTCAAGATGTTCCCGGGGCGGGGGGCTGACCACACCCCAGGCATCTGGCAGAGGACAGGGGCCAGGCAGACCTTGCTTCTTGAGAATGTGGGGTGAAGACACAGAACAGAAGTGGAGGGGGAAGAGTTCAAGCACCAGGGATGTGAGGTGAAACCCTCATGCCCCCCAGAACCAGCACATACTTCTCTCCATCATGGCTGTCCTGATTACCTGGGGCAGGACCCATCCTCAGGGTCCCTTCTCTCTGTTCAGAGCTTGATATAGCTCCCAGAGCCAGTAAGTGGACTGGACTCTTTCGCCCAGCTTGGGGCCCTGGGGTTCCTTACACCACTGAGGACCTGATGACAGTAGATCTTCCATCTGCTGAGCACTGGCCAGTCCAAGAGCTTCACAGAGTTTCTGCCGTCGATCCTTGCAATGACCCCATGTCCATTTCCTGGAATAGAGTGAGGCCCAGAAGTGTGCGGCCACCTGACGTCACATGGCAGTGCAGGTTCCTGACTTTGTGGGGGGTCTTGGGACCCAGCCCACCCTTGGGTACCAAAGCTTTGCCTGAGGTGAAGTGCCACTGTAGCCAGGGAGCTGCCTGTGCGTGGGGCCCAGGAGACCAGGGTAAGATTCCTGGCATGAAGATACTGTCAACCAGCCTCTGGGAGGGCTGGAGCCGGACGACGGAAGATGCTGGCAGCCAGCTGGAAACTAGGGCAGCATGGTGGGGAGAGGGAGGCTGCCAGAAGAGCAGCGGGCAAGGCCTGGGGAGGGCAGTTCCGGGGGTGTTCCAGATCCCTGGTCCATGCTCCTGCTCAGCCTTTTTCAGGTCGTGTGACCTCAGAGCTGTGTGTAACTTAACCCCTCTGCGTACCAGACTCTATCTGTAGCCTCTTGGGATGACTGAGATGGCTCCTCTTTGAGCGCATGCACTCAAAGCACTTAGAGCAGCACTGCACGTGTGGACACTCCTCAGAGTCCTTCTAGCGAAGGGCAGATTCCAGCATGGGGTGAGGGGGCAGTGTCGAAAGTGAGTCATTCCTAGAGATATTTGCTGTCTAGTGGCCGTGCATCTTCAGCTCAAGGAAAAGGAGGTCAGTTCTTTGTTCACTCATTCACTCTCTCACTCACTCGTTCATGTATTCATTCATTTAATCACTGACTCTGGGCTGGGCATTGTTCTAGGCCTTGGGACAGACAAGGCAGTGATGAGGGCATGTGTAGCTGTGGCATCACTCTGATGACCCTGTTGGCTCTGGAATCAAAGTCATGGATGCCTCACTGGCTGGTGGTCCTCCCTCTGCCTGCCAGGAGAGATTGGGGTGGATGCTCCAGCTTCTGGCATCTCACTGACTCCTTTCCATGAAGCTCCTCAGCAGCTGCTTTCTGGGACCTGCTCTGTGGGTTCTGTCCCTGTCTCCATGGCCCTGCTGCTCTCTGCCGTTCGGGAGTCGTAGACAACCTGGCCAGCCATATTGACTCTGGGACACTCTCTGACTGAGCAAAGGGGGAAGCATATGGGAGGGCCTGAGCCAGCTCTCTCTTTAGGGGCCACAGCTCTCCCCTTGCTCTCTCTCTGGGGAGGTACTGCTCCTGGACCCTCCTTAACCCTAAGCCGGGGGGTGGCTCTTGCCCTTGAGGGCCTGGGCAGGTGCAGGGTGGGCTGGGCAGTGTGGGCAGATTTTTATGGCCTTCCTGTCCCCGCAGTGCGCCTCCATGACAGCATCTCCGAGGAAGGGTTCCACTACCTGGTCTTCGATCTGTAAGTGCCTGAACTGGGGACGTCTCCCTGTCGGCTCCCGGTGTTGGGCCTGGCCCTCTCTGCTCCTGGTATTGGGCCTGGGTGGGATTTGAGGCCACTCTGGCCCTTGGTGGACAGCCCTCCATCACCCAGGGTCACCTTGCTTCCAGGATATGCTGGAGGCCATCTGGGTAAAGAGGCAGGAGGGAAGTGAGTGTCCCCAGAGGAAGAGGTCAGCAGCTTCCTTTACCTTCCCTCCTTGGTGTCCTTATTACAGAGCTGAACTGGGGCTCTGCTGACTGGCTGGTGTGTGTGCATGTGCACGTGTGTTTTTGAGTGTGAGCTTGTACATATAGGTGTCATCATGTGATTGTGTGTGATGCATAAACAAGCATGATTGTGTACATGTGTGATTTGCAGGGGTGTATGTGCTTAAATTGTGCACATATGTGTATGTGTGTGCACGTGTGATTTGTGGAGGTGTGGATATTTTATATTGTGGATATTTGGTGTGTACATATGTGCGATTTGTATGTGTGTGTACGTGTGCGGATGTGTGTGAGGCAGCTGAGTAAGAAGGCATCTGGGGCCTCTGCCGCCTCTCACTTCCTGCTGGATTTAGAAGTGGTGATCTCACCACCCCCCCTCCCTGACAGTTCCCTCTAAGCAGTGCTATATTTAGCTATCCATGAGTCAGTGCTGCTCAGGACCCTGGGGTGGGTAGGGGCTGTGGGCTCTGGGCAGTCCTGCGCGTCTCCGGGTAGCCACATGGCGGGGCGGTCCAGGAGCGCTGTTGCCATGGTGATGGGATGTCCTGCGTGGGGGCGCTCTTCCTCCCTCAAATGACAGCTGCCTTGCACCATGGGGCACAGAGGTCTGAGGGGGCCTCAGCCCACTCGGGGTTCTGTGATCAAGAGAGGTCGGGACTGTCCTAAGGAAGATAGGCCATCCCTCGGGTGCCCCTTGTCCCACAAGTCACCACTTCAAGTGACCAGCCAGGTGGTCAGGGCTGACCTGGGACACAGCTGCTGCTGGGTGGAGGCTGGGCCTGAAACATCTGTCCCAATGCCCTTGAGGAGATGGCAGGCTCACAGTAAGCTTCCATACCCACCCCTGCTCCACCAGTCTGGAGGGTGGCCATGCCTGGGCCCCTGGTGGCCAACAGAAAGAGTGCATGTGTTGCAGGAGCAGATGAGGGCTAAGGAATAGGGGTTGTGTGCATGTAAGCGTGGGCACATGTGTGTGATGTGAGGGCAGCGAAGAGCGCTGCCATGTGCAAGAGCCTCTGGCTATCCTCACAGCACTCTTCATCCTCCAGTGGCCCTGCACAGTCAGGGTGGCTGTCTCCACCTTAAGAGATGAGAGCCCTGCCTGGGCCCTATGTGCAGCTCCCTGACCCCAGAGCCCCCCTTTCAAGTCAGATGCACTGCCTCCCTCAGGCGGTCACCTACTCTGAGCCTTAGCCTCCTGGCAAAGTGGGATCCTAAAAGCTCTTGCTCCAAGGGTCCAGTGGGATCACAGGGTGATTCTAGCCTAGAATGGGGACATGTTTACACCCCACACGTCTGTGTGTTATCTTTTCTCCAACACTGAGAGAGCCCACCTGTGCCAGGGTCACTGTTCAGCAGTGCCCACTCCTGTGGCTGTGGACCAGCCAGACCCTGAGAGCTGGAAGTCCTGCCTTCCAGAGCTAATGGGAATGGAATTGCAATGAAAAGACTACCATGCGAGGCAGGGCAGCTGCAAGTGGGGTGCTGGAAGGAAGGCACGTTGCAGAGAGAGGAACCCCTTGGTCACATCCCGTGGGAAAGCTCTAGATGAAGTCTTCCAGACTCAGAGCTTACTGATTTGGGTAGATCTGGGGTAGATCTACCTGTTCCCCTCTGTGGCTGCCCCTCTGCCACAGTTTCTCCTCCACTTACTGTTACATGCCCACATTTCCCAGCCACACAATGGGTGGCTTTCTGGGTTTCCAGAGACCCTGCAGGCAGTAATTCCTGCCCTGGATGTCCATGCTGACTTGGGCCTGAAGACCATTCCTTGGCCACCTGGCAAGAAAGTGAATAGACAGGGCACCCTGCTCTCCTCCTGGAGATGGGACCTCAGGCACCTGTGATTCCAGGCCAGGCACCATCTCTTTTGGCCCATCTCTTGTTGTTCCATGTCTAGTTTGGGAGGGCTTGAGATGGAAACAGGATCTTTTTAGGCCTGGAATAAGAGTCCCAAGACCTGAATCCAATGTCTGTGATGCCACTTTGGACAAGTTACTTAGATCTTGGAAACTCCATGTTCTGAGCACAGGTGCCAATGTCATGGAGGAGGTGTGAAGACAGATGTTAAATATCGCCATGTGAGCACCTGGTAAACTGTCGGACTTAGGAGAGAGTGGTGTTGGGGTGGAGGTAGTGGTGCTGGAGATGATGGTGATGACATGCGGAAGGTAGTGATGATGGAGATGGTGGTGCTGGTGGTGGTGGTGGTGGTGAAGATGGTGTCGGGGGTGGTGGAGATGGTGTTGGGGGTGGTGGAGATGGTGGAGGTGATGGTGATGATGATGATGATGATGACGATGACATGCAGGACATGGTGATAGTGGTGATGATGGCAAAGACTTTCAAAAGGTGGAAGAGATGGGATGGAGGTTATGGAGATGACAGGGGCCTCCAGAATCTACTACCTCTGTGTGCTTTTCCCACAGGGTCACTGGTGGGGAGCTCTTTGAGGACATCGTGGCTCGAGAGTACTACAGTGAGGCCGATGCCAGGTGGGTATGGAACCCTCATACTTGCCACCCTCCTCTTGTCCCTGTTCTTCCCTTACTCAGCCCCACTCCTGCCCCTCTGGCCGACATCTGCTCTTAGTGTACTGTCCTTTCCTTGACTGGGCCAGACAATCAGCTGGAGAGGTGGTGACGGTCTTTTCCCTGGCAACAGCCTCCCCCACCCTGCTGGGAGGTCTGACCAGGATGGAGGTGTGGGAACTGGGGAGTGGGCAGACCTGTTCCGTTCCCCCTGGAATGGGAGCTGGCGCAGAGAGGAGTGACTCTCCTTGGGGTGACTGGTGGGAGGAGAGAAGACAAGGTGGTGGTGTCCTCCTGCCCTTCCCTCGGACATCTGCTCATGGGCTTGGCTGCCTGCCACTCACAGAAGAGCACTTTTCAAATGTCTTTCCCAAAAAGACAGGCCAGGGGTCCCTTTCCATGACGTCCTCCTGGGACCCCCTCGAGGCACAAAGGCAGGGCAGGTCGGCCCTGTGCTGGTGGGAAAGGCTTCTGGCTCCCGAGCGTGGTGAGCAGGAAAGACGGACCCTTGGTGTGGGGAATGGAAGCTCTGTCTGGGGGCGGGGGAGGAGATGCTGGGGCATGGCAGGGCCCCTCTCCCTAGAATGGTGGCTTGTTGTGACCCAAAATTATGAGCCAGATACTGTCCTGATCCATGACAACAGTGTCCATCCCAATAGTGCGCTCACCCTGGACAGAGGTGACTCTTTTAATAAAAAAAAAGGCTGCAGTGGCCCTTTCTAGATGATGGGGTTGTGGATGCTCTTTAATTCTTTTCTCTTTGTCTATTTTATAAATAGTCTTCAATGAATATGTATTACACTTTTAATCAAGAAAAATGAATATTATTTTAAAAAGTAGGTTTTTGTGACTGGCTTCTGCACCCACAGGTGACTTCTCCCAGCAGTGATGACTGGGTCTAATGAAAAGGTGCAGAGTGGGGCAGCTGGGGGGATCTGGGGGGCAGTGCCCTGGTGGGGCTGGTGTCAGGACAAGGGTCTGTTGCTGCTCCCACTTCAGGCCAGCCCACCCTGGCTGAACACTCTCCTGAAGATCCTCAAGAAAGGACTTTATGCAGAACAACCTGGAATGAACTGTCTCCTAGAGGAGATGGCATATTTATTTCCTACTTAAAAGAAAAGTAGAAAATAACATGGAACCGCTCCTCACTGCTTTGAAATGCTCAGGGCTGCCGGGTGGGCAGGTGAGACCCCCGTCTAGCCTCCTAATGTCTGCTGGGGCTTGTGGGACTGTTGGTCAGGCCAACATGCAGGCCAGGCAGGACACAAGATCCCTAACTGGCTATCTGCCAAGGACCCTGTGCCATGGGCAGGGCAGTGAGTGACAAAACTCTCACTCAGGAACTACAGGAACTGCTCTCTAATTCTGCCTCCAGCATCATCTGGCTCCCTCATGGAGCTGCTTGCCTTTACAGTCCTGATTCCCAATCTGGAACATTTTTGTCAGGCCCCTGGGTCCTCAGTGCCCACCACTGGGCAAAGCCTGGGGCTTGGCACCTCCCAATCCCCAGCACTCCATGACAGATGACCCAGATGAGGGGAGGCATAACCCACACTGCAGTTCTCCCACCCTCATCTCGGCCAAAAACCCTAGCTACCTCTGGCCTGCCTACAGAACCTTCCTTTCAAGCCTGCCCCCTGGCCCAGGGGGACTCATGCCATCGCAGGCGCATGTGCTATGCTCTGCTCCCACACTCCCAGTCCCACAACCCTCACCCTGACCCCACATTCCATATCCACTCCCACCCCAGGCCCCTACCCCTGCAGGCACCTCCTACCCCCATCCTATGCCATCCTAAGCCCCATGACCCAAACAACCCACAACACCAGTAGTCTCTGAGCTCACCTGCCCTACCTTCCACTTGTCTCTTGACTTATCTTCTCCATCTCCCCTCCTGCCCCCAGCCCTTACTCCCTCACTCCTGTGGCTCCCTCCTGCCCCCTGTACCCCTTCTTTGCTGTGTTTTTGTGGCCCCTATGTGTCCATCAGGTCACAGAGTATGAAACACAGAGGAACCAAGGGGTTCCTCTCTGCAGGACTTGTCACCTGCCCGGCCCAACCTAGAGAGGGCACCTTCAGGATTGCCTGGCCTTGATGCTCTGAGGCCTAAGGGGGCTGCACAGTGGTGGGGTATGGGGAAGGGCTGGAGGAGTCACTGTGCAGATGTCCTGATCAATTGGGCCAGTTTTCTCTCTCTCTGGCTTCTGCTAAGCCTGCCTCCCTGCTGCTCTCGGACAGTAGATGTCCTGACCCCTCTCCAGAGAGTCCATTATGGAGGGCTCCCTTGGTGAGCTGATCCAGCAACTGATCCAGGAGAGACAGGGACTCAGATGCAGGCCCCACAAATTTCTAGTTTCTTCTTACAAACGCTGTCTCACCTAGTAGCCAAGCTGTGAGGAGGGAAGCAGAGGGGACCAGGGGTCCTTCTGGGGAGTCCCCTCCAGCTTGTCTACCAGTGGAACTTGAGCACCTTGGGTATTCTGTGCAATAGGGCTGATCCCCTTCATAAGCCTAAGGCCAGCAGGCTGTCTCTTCCTGGGCGCCCTGCATCTGGGAGCTGGGCCTAGTGGGAGATGACCTCGTGTTTACATTTTTGTGGATGTTTCAGCTTTGGGCAGAGAGCCAGACACAGTCTGACATGGAGGCACACATGGGCCAGCCACCCCTGCATTATCAGGGCCGTGGCACACTCAAGGAAGCCATGCTGCGAGGGCGGGCACCATCTCTCTGGGCCCTGGGTGTCAAGGGAACTGAAAGGGGTAAGGGTGGGGACACACCCTGGCCCTCACTTAGGTCTGGCGCCCCTGGACAGATGCATGCTGGGCCCTTCCCTTGTCCTGAGCTCCTACTGTCAGAGCTGAGCATCTGAGGAATCTCCCACCTCTGGTACCAGGGAGGAGGCTAGACAGTCCCCTTCAAAGTGGGACCTTTGTTTTGAAGTTTCTGGGAAACGCGCATGGCCTTTTTTTCAAGCCAGAGAAAATATTCAAAACGTGTATAAGCCATTTATCCCAAGAAGCAATGTGGTTCATGAGAGATGGTTACAGGGACCCCATGAGGGGCTACCCCAGGGTGGGAGTCGGGGGTGGGGCAGGAGCAGTGCATCTGAACCCAAAACTGAAAAGAATGTCCGGGCTCAGCCCGTGTCCAGAGTGCCAGCTGGGAACAACTCTGACCGCAGAGGTGACTTTCTCAGCTGTTCAGAATTTGTAAAAAAAAGCTTCCAGAGGAAGATAACATGATGTGAACAGGGCAGGTGGAGGCAGGCGGGACTCGTGACTGGCCTGTAGTCTTGTGTCCTCCAGGCTGAGTCCCCTGGCTGTAGCGGTGGGCCTTGGGAACTGTGCCCGGAGGTCCCCTGGTGGGCGGGTGGCCTGGACTCCTGTCCGCTGCTGTGGTGACTCCACATGGTTCCCCAAGATGCTGTGAAGAGTGGGACTGGGGGTCAGCCCAGTGTGACCAGGTGGTAGGGTGGGGGTGGCACAGTTTTCTCTTGTGGAACCTGGTTTGCAGAGGTTGAAACCAGTGAGTCTGTCCTGCAGCCACATTTGTCACTTGGTGTCCGTGAAGTGCCTGAGCAGGCATGGGTGGATGGAGATGTTATCAGAGTTGTAGGCTCGATCCCAGGGACATGGGGAGGCGCCAGTGCTCCTCGAAAGAGTCAGGCTGGGTGCTGCTCAGTGTGTTCAGCCTCTGCGTTCAACCCTGGTTTGGGGCCCTACATCCCACGCCACTAAATTGGGAACAGCTCACCCCATCGAGGTGACATGTTGAGCTGTACTGTGCGGCAGGTGGACGTATGGGTCCAACAAACACGTTAAAGGACAAGATTGAGAGGAAAGAACATGTTGCCACACTCACAGGGGCCACAGTCCATGCAGACACAGACTCTGGCCAAACACCCGCACAGAGGCAACATGGGCACCCAAGCATGCCCGACATGGAGGGGCAGAGGGCATCCTTTAGGCAAGAGCCAGGGTGAAGATAGAACATGAGGACTTGACCCGAAAGCCAGCCGGCAGGGTCCTCAGCAGACCTGGAAACATGTTCCCTGGGATGGCAGATGAGCAGCAGCCAAGGCCCAGCAATACCTCCTTAGGCTCTGAAGGCCACGTGAGGTGCTGGGAGAAAGGGCCACAGCTTTGCACATGGCAGATGCACCAAGGGATTAATAGGTGGCCCCAGAGGCCCTGGCCAAGGGCATGGTGATGCCTGGGAGGAGAGATAGCATGTCTGACCCTGGTTTTCAGGGCTCAGCAGTTGGGAATTGTGGGTTAATAGTCGCCACTCCTCCCCAGGGCTCTGGGCTTGTGTGTGAGCTGAGGTCCATGGGGGCTGGAAAGGTGATGGCCCCTGTCTGGGGCCCTGGCTCAGCGGCCTTGATGGTAAGTGCTGGGGCTTCACCTCACCTCCACCTCTGCCCTCAGAACTTCCCAGACCCCAGGACACAGGGAAGGAGATCCCAGAGCAGGGGGCAGAGACTGCAGACATTGGAGTGGTCTGTGACATTGAAGGGAGGGCTTGCTCTCCCGCAGAAGGGCCTTGGGCCTTCCACTCCCACAATGCTCAGGAATCCATCACCCCTTTAAGATTCCGAGGTCTAAGTTTCTGCAGGGAAGCGACTCTGGTTTGCTTTTCTATGCAGTGGGTATTGTCTCCAGATGTGGCCAGAGCTATTGAGTAAGATGATTAGGCCGCATATCCTCTCTGAGCTTGCTGTTAGGGATTCAAAATCCCTCCTTCCCCTGCCTACCTTGTCACTCCACAGGGGCCAGCCATTGCTGGCGGTGTCCCAGGGAATCTACTAATTCCTCCCTCATCCCACCAGGGAGGCTGTGACCAAGACCCCAGGTAGTGGGTCCTGGCAGCCTGTGGCCTCCAGTCTCCTGTGAATGGTTATATCACAGGGGCAATGTGGGACCCCGAGTGCCTGTCTCTGCCTCTGGGGGCAGCTGAAAAACTGTTGGGGATCCCTGGGGCTATGGGAGGACAAGCTTAGGCCATAGGGTTTCTTTCATGTGTGCAGGGGACCTCACTGACACAAGTGCGGAGGTGCCTGAGGGCAGAGGGACCTCTCCCCCCTGCTAGTCCTTCCCTGGAAGGCCTGGAACTTCTCCTGACCTGGAAGGAAGCCCCTGGCTCAGGGCCCTCACCAGGAGAGCTTCCCAGACCCCAAGGCTGCTGTTGAGCTGAGCTGTCCAGGGTAGCAGCCAGCAAGCGGTGTGATATTCAAGCTTATTAATATGAGATAGCAGGTGCTCTAACATCAGAACACCCAGACCCTGCGGAGTTAACACTGCCCCAGAACAGAGAGAGGCGCTGCTGCCAGGTGCTCCCCACTTCACGATGCTAGCCAGTCGGCCTTCTTCCCCTGCCTTTTCTCTGCTTAGATTTCTCCGCCCCTGACCTGTCTTGCAGGGTGGACCTTAGCCCTGGCCTCCCTCCCAGAGGGCACCACAGCTCAGGTCAGGCTTGGCTAGTATGCTCCTGGGAAGGGGCACCCAGGAACAGGGTGTTTCATCTGAGTGTCCCTTCTGTGGGCCTGCCCTGGCTCAGCGGGGGTGTGGAGGCTCAGTCGACCTGGCCATGTCTTGTGTTAACCTTCAGGACCAAAGAGGGGTCCCCAGAAGCCCCCTGCTGGCCAGTGTCTCCTCTCCTGTGTGGCAGCAGTGCCTTCATTCCCTGCTTTCCCTTGGCTCCCCGCCAGGCTGGGGACCCCAGGGCCCAATGCCGCTCTTACAGCCCTGCCGACCCCTGGGGGTGGGGGTCACCACACTAATGCCCTGCTGTTTGCTGCAGCCACTGCATCCAGCAAATCCTGGAGGCCGTTCTCCATTGCCACCAAATGGGGGTTGTCCACAGGGACCTCAAGGTGAGTCTCCCACCCCGCTGTCCTCTGTATCTGCATGTCATATAAAAGGGGGTCCTGGGGTGAGGCAGTGTGTTCCAGGAGACACTGCATGTGTGGGGAGCACTCGTGCACTGGTGTGTGCATACATGTGCGTGCGTGTATGTGTGCAGGAGCACACTGCATACTTGCGCGTTGTGTGAGAAGTATGTGCTTGTGTGTGCTCACGCACGGGTGTTTCTGCACACGTCCCTCCTAGGCCTGTGGTGCCGAGAAGGGGCAGTTTCCCAAAATCAGATTGTTGGCTCATGTCTACTTGGGACCTCACTTTCGGGCCTCTGGTTGTGACTCGGACCCGGCGGGTGGGACACGGGTGACCTGCATGCAGGTGGGCAGGTGCCGAGGGAGCAGGGGTAAGGGCCCTGATTTGTTGGTCTGCAAACTTCTAGTCCTTTCTCCAAGTCTTTGCTGCCCTTATCTCAGCTCTGGCCCAAGAAGTTTCAGACTGCTCAAAAGAAGGTTTGTCACCCCCAGAGCGCGGGTGGAGGCCTCGGGAGGAGCAGCCATCGCCCCTGTGTACCCCCACTCCTTCCCTTCCTTCTTTCCCTCCTCCCCTCTCCCTCCCTTCATGCTCAGGGCATGCTCAGGGCCTTCCCCACCTGCGGGCACTGGACAGGTAGGAGGCTAGAGCCGGTCGGTCCCCTCCATCCTGAGTCTGGGTGGTTACTCTGGAACCAGTGGGACTTGGGGAGACTCCCTGCTCTGCTGAGAGGGGGGGTCCCTAGTTGTTCTTCTTCAGGAAGTGCCTTCTCTCCCCTCCCCCTCTCTTCCTCATCCTCCTTTTCCTTCTAGGTCTCCCTCCCTCCCTTCCCCTTCACTTCCCCTCTCTCCCCTCCCCTCCCTCGCGTTCTTTCTCTTCCTTCTCCATCTCTTTTTTTCTATTTCCGTTTCTCTGAGGCTGAGTTCTGGTCTGTTTCTTCTGGGGGGGGCAGGGTGAGCCCTGGGCCTGTCATCCCTGCTGAGAGGCCCCGTGGGGGCAGTTGAGACCAGCCAGCCCAAGGGGGCTTGTGATGGATGAATGAGCCCTCGAGGGGTGCGTGTGCGCTGATCTCTGGAGACGGCTTTGTCCCACCGGGAGCTGCCCCGGGACCCTCTCCTGTGTCCTCAAATGCCCCAGTCCGTGCGTGTTCTTTGTGCCTGCCCTCCGTCCCTGAGTCTTGAATTGGCCTTACTCTGGGGGAGGTAGGCATGTGTCCCCCACCTGTTCCTGGACTTGACAAGTTAATTGTGAGGCCAAGGCATAGAAATGGAGGTGGGTGTTCCCCCTTATCCCAGAATTCTTGCTGGAAAAAAAAGGTGGAGTAGGGTGAGTTGGCCTCCACCTCCTGTCAGGTGTCGGCGTCTTAATTGAGAGGCCCCCTGAAGTCGTGCTGTGGCAGGTTTGCTCTTAGTGAAGGTGAGGAGGTGGTCAAGAATAGGGGGTAGGGGGTGATGCCATCCTAGGGGGGTTTGAGGAAACCAGGGTGCGGTAGTGGGAGGGTCATTGCTGGCAGCCCAGCTGAGGGCACCTACCTCCCCTCTGACCTTTTTAACCCAACTCTTTTGGGGGACCAGTTCCCTTAACTCCTTTCCCTAAAGGGATGCTAGTTGTTCACTCTGGGGAGAGGAACAAGGGGGAGAGGGGTGGGGCATCTGATCTGTAAATCAGGTCAAGCCCCCAGCATATTTACAACTACTTGATGTGCCCACTTCGGCACAGTCAAGATGTTTAGGGACTCCTGGGTTTGCTCTAGGCAGGCAAGGACATGTGTGCCACGTGGTCCTGGCCTGCTCTGTAGGCTCCACTCAGCCGCCAGAGAAAAGGTCTGCTCTCTGTCCCGTGGGGCTGGCAACTTCATCCTTCTAAGAATGTCAAATCCTGACACCTCAGGTTTACAAGTGCTGTTAACAAGTTTTGATGGGTGGTGTTTACATTTCTTGGTAGCCCCAAAGCAGCTGTGTGGTCTCAGTGGGCCTGCCTGTTGCGAGGCTGCCTGGCAAGGGAACTGAGGGCCTCTGGGAGCCCCCTGGCAGTCAGGGAGAAGTCTCCAAACCTGAGCTCTGAGGCTGGTGGGACAGGTTAGGATGGGAGGGCCCAGTGTATAGGTCCCTCATCGAGACAGCAGCCCCCTTGGCACTGCCCAAGCTTGAGCAAGGACGCTGCTCCCCAAGATGGGGAGGCATGCTTAGGGCCTTCCCCACCTGTGGGCACTGGACAGGTAGGAGGCTAGAGCAGGTCCCCTCCATCCTGTGTCTGGGTGGTTGCTCTGGAACCAGTGGGACTTGGGGAGACTCCCTGCTCTGCTGAGAGGTGGGGTCCCTAGTTGTTCTTCAGGAAGTGCCTTAGCCCCCATAGTAGGCAAGCCCTCTGCCAGTGGGGCCATGGCCCCATGTTGGCTTGTAGGATATGCTTGGTTTTGGTCCCACAAGCCCCTGAGCTCACTGTTCCTGCAGGTGAGGGACCTGAGCCCATACTGTGAGAGCCAGCATCCACCTGCAAAGCTTGGGCTCCTGTTCCTGCCACTGGGAGGGGGGCAGCTGTGGAGCATAGCCCCAGCGGCCCAGGACTCCAGGCTGCACTGTGACACCTTGGGGCCCTCAGGGAATGTCACCTGTGCCCCGGGGTCACCACATGACTAGGGTCAGACTTATGCTCCCCTGCCTGCAAACCACTGTTGTCTTTATTTTGTCTGCCTCTCCCCGTGATGCCCCCCTTGTAAACCAAATGCCCTGGGACCGGTCACCTTCTGGCAGCCTGAGAACCTGCTCCTAGCCAGCAAGTGCAAAGGGGCGGCAGTGAAGCTGGCGGATTTCGGCCTGGCTATTGAAGTGCAGGGGGACCAGCAGGCATGGTTTGGTAAGTGCCTGGATGGCTGGGTGAGGGGATAGGGTGGGGGTGTCAGCAGCCCCGGAGCCCCTCACATACCTCTTTCCTTCTCACCAGGGTTTGCTGGTACGCCGGGCTACCTGTCCCCAGAGGTCCTCCGCAAGGAGGCATATGGCAAGCCAGTGGACATCTGGGCGTGTGGTGAGGCCTGCATGCAGACGCAGCTGGGGAGGCACATCTGCACTGTCCGCCCTGTGCTGGGCCCCCCAGCCAGGAGGCCCGCCCCACCCAGATTAGAATTGCCATGTGTCCCTATTGCTTGGAAGCTGACTGCTCTGGTGCCCTCCCTGCTCTCAGCAGAGATCTTGCCCGAGTAGTGAGCGCATGGACAGACACATTGGGTGCTTGGGTACTGGGAGGGGTGGAGGCCCTGCAGACCACCCCGGGGCTGACTCTGTGGCCGGTTGCTGGAGCCAGCAGAACAGTGGAGGGGGCTGGGCTTGGGCCTCCCTTGTGAAGTAGGGAGGGAGAGGGGTAGAGTAAGGGGGCTGCTTATGCCTTTCTGCCAACACAAGGCTCTCCCATTAGTGACACTTGCTGACACTGGCTATGGGGGGAGATCCAGTGCTGTCTTGGAGTTTGTTGACTTTGGGCAGGGGCCCCCAACTTCACTGAGGCTAAAGAACTTGCTGGGGGTCCCATAGCTGTTATGTGCCAAAGCCAGGCCTCTTCCCCCTCCCCTCCATCCCAGCCTGGTATGTGGGAGTATTTTGGGCCCCAGGAGGTGCAGGAGCAGGCTGGAGTCCAGCCACTGGGACATGGGAAATGGGAGGGTGCAGGGTGTGGGGCAGCATCATGAGGCCTGTGCTCTTGGGTTGTCCCCAGGGGTGATCCTCTACATCCTGCTTGTGGGCTACCCACCCTTCTGGGATGAGGACCAGCACAAGCTGTATCAGCAGATCAAGGCCGGAGCCTATGATGTGAGTACCCTCCTGGCACCTCCCCGTGGATCTGGGAGAGGCCAGGAACAGGGTGACACTACCTAACCTGGACCTCGATTCCCAGAGTCATGGCAGAGGGTGAAACCCGTAGCGAACTGTGGCTTCTGTCTGGGGAGGGACTTCAGCCCCTCTTCGTGTTGCTCCCTTTCTAGTTCCCATCCCCTGAATGGGACACGGTCACTCCCGAAGCCAAAAACCTCATCAATCAGATGCTGACCATCAACCCTGCCAAGCGCATCACAGCGCACGAGGCCCTGAAGCATCCTTGGGTCTGCGTAAGTGGCCCCAGCCTCGGACCACCCCAGCTGGCAGGTTGATCCTGGGTCTTCTCCCGGCACTGCAAAGACCCCTGGGCTCCTGAGTGCTGCACGGAGGTATCTGGGGACACACTGATAGGTCTGGCAGATTTCACTTCTGGGGAGGACAGGAGTGCACAGGTGGAGGAGGCCCACCTCTGTTGTGAGTGGACAGTCTACAAGGCGGGAAAGTGACAGTGGGGGGAGGACAGGCAGGAGGGCAGACAGCTTAAGACAGGAAGAGACAGGCTAAGGGCAGGTGGTGAGGACAGGCTAGGGATAGGTGGGGGGACAGAATAGGAGCAGATGTGGGGGCAGGCAGGGTTTAGATGGGCTGGCAGGGGCATGGGCTGGTGGGGGTGTGGGAGGGAATGGTTACAGAGGGACAGACAGTCAACAGGTAGTGGCAGGGGATACAGGTGGGGGTGGGGCAAGGGAGAGTGGATAGGTGGGCAAGGGTGGGAGGGGGCATAGGTGATTGGTGGCTCTTGGCCCGAGGGCCCTGGGAACACTTCCAGTCTGCTGCCCTGAATTTTATCCTGACCCTCGACCTGCAAGCCCACCTCGGGGACAAAGCTTCTACCCTCAGGGCTCCTTGCAGTGCCTGACTCCCCCTCTCCCCACAGCAACGCTCCACTGTGGCCTCTATGATGCACAGACAAGAGACAGTGGAGTGCCTGAAGAAGTTCAATGCTCGGAGGAAGCTCAAGGTGAGATTCTGGCCCCTAGAACCAGCCCCGCAGGGTCCACATGCTCACCCTGTCCCCTCAAGGACCCCATCTGGGCTGCGGCTGGAAGGGCCCAGCAGGCCCAGTGTGGGGAGGCTGTGGGGGGCCCCCAGCCCAGGACAGGGTGCTTGTCAGCAGTGACCCAGACCAGAGGTGTCAGGTGGGCTCAGTCCCACAGTGGCAGTGACGCCAGAGGTGCCGGGACCCAGCCCCTTCTCGGCCAAACATGCCACCCTCCAAGCCCTTCAGGAGCCACCTGTGAGGTGTCCCCAAGACCGCACACCTGAGTCTCCCTTGGGTGAAAGGCGCCCTCTGGTGGTCTTTAGTGTGAGAGGTTGAGAAGTTCTTGACCCAGGGCAGATTTGGCGAGGAGAGCAGCCAAATGCTGTTGTTTGGATGAGCAGGGGGAGGTGGACCCTGGACAGGGAGCCTTGCCTGCTGGAGACTGTGTGGTGCCAGGCCCGCTCTCCTAAAGGGTTGCTCCGTGAGCACCCAGACCTGACCTGAGCGGGAGTGGATAGTCGCCCTCGCTGGTCTCCCCGAAGTACCTCTGCAGTGCAGGGCCCCTCACTGCTCTGGACTGAGAGTGCACATGAATGTGTCTGTGAGGGCACTAAGGGACCTGGAAGTGAGGCAGAGCCCGGAGGAACTTCAGTGACTGGTGGACCCATGAAGTCTTGAAGTTCTTTAGAAGCTGTGGATCCATGGTTTGGGGCTCAGGGCAAGCGGCTGTTTTAATTCTGAGAGCAGGTGGTTTGTCTCAGTGCAAGGACCCCATCTGGGCTGAGTTGTAGAGCTCTGGCCTCTCTGCCAGGTGCCCACAGGCTGAGGTCGGGGGGACTTCTCCTGGCTGGCCAGACAGGCCTTGCCTGAGCTGTGTGTCTCTCCCCAGGGCGCGATCCTCACCACCATGCTGGCCACGAGAAACTTCTCAGGTGAGAACCACCTTCTCAGGGAAGAGCAGGCCTGTGCAGGAAGGCTCACAAATAATCCACCGCCCACCCCTTTCTCATCCTTGGTCCCTCTCCACCAAGGCCAGCCTTGTCCAGCCTTCTGTCCCCGCCCCCCTCCCTCAGCTACAGAGAAGGTCTGGTCTCCCTACTTGGCCCCTACTTGGCCCCTCCTCGGACAGCAGGGTCCCCCCATCCCGGCACATGCTCCTGTCCCTGCGTGTTGGGTTTCCATGTCCTCTCCTGATGCCCCAGTGTCTGTGCCGCCTGCTGTCTGGGCCGAGGCTCTGTGTGTCTGTACAGCCATTGGTTGGCACCCGTGTGGCCTCGTTATTCTGAATCCTCTGAGCACCCGTTTTGTGTGGGGCTGGGGTGGAAAGGATCTGGGATCTCTGCTGAGCTCTGGACATGTGGTGGCCTCCTGCCCCCGGTCATAGAGGGTGGCAGGGCTGAGGGTGTGTGCTGCTCAACAGGGAGGCGGAGAAGCGAGGTTTCTGGGGATCTGTCAGCGGCCCGAGGCCACGGGTCCCGGCAGGCCCCCTGGGACAGTGCTGCCCAAGTGGGGCCAGCTGGCCTTTCACTGTCCTGTGTGAGGTGTCCTTGTCTGTCACCCGTGGCACGGGTGCGGAGCATCTGTGTTCCATCCTCTCGTTGTTCGTTTGCACCCTGGCACCCCACCCCATCCTGTTACTTTTGCTGTGATACTGTGCTGCCGGGAACGGGGGGCATACTGTCACACCAATACTAATAGGACATGTCCTGTCCACATGCCCAGCTGGGCACTGAGAAGCCCCCGCTGGGGTTTTCTAAGGAGAAAGGAGGCAAATGCTTTTCAAATGTCAATCAGTCTCCATCTTGTTTCACTCTCCTGTGAAAGGGATTCTGGAACCATCCGCCACCTAAACTTTGACTCTAATCTTCTTCTGCTTCCTTTGTCTCTTTTCTTCCCCTACCTTGCCCACCCCTCGTCTGTGTCCACCTCCCCTCCCCTCGTCTCTAACCCGGTGCTAACAGTGGGCAGACAGACCACCGCTCCGGCCACAATGTCCACCGCGGCCTCCGGCACCACCATGGGGCTGGTGGAACAAGGTAGATGCTCTTGACCAGTGTCCGCCTGTCGGCATCAGCTCCTCTCACTGTGCACAGCCGCCCTAAGGCCCTGGGAGCCCTGGCTCCCGCAGTGGACATGTCCCAGAGGGCCTGTAACTGAGGGCAGGGAGACAGCCCCCTATCCCAGGGCCTCATCCCCACCTGTTCAAGGTGGGGCAGGCTATGGGACCCCTAAGCCAAGCCGAGCCCCACATGCATTTGGCTGAACCCCCCAGTCCTCGCCCTGAGTCTGGGGGTCAGGAGACCCTTCTGCTCAGGGCCCTTTGCTTTCAGAGGCTCTCTCCCTGCTTGTCTGTCCCAACCGCTACCTATTCAGAGTGACCTTGACCACCTGCACAAAGCCTCCAGTGGTCTGAATCTTGAGTGGGGTCTACAGGGAGAAGAGCAGGGAGGCTGAGACCACCCTGCCCCATGAGAGCCCACCACCACTCCTGCCTGGGCTGCACCCATCCCAGGCTTTCAGGGAGCCGGAGGTCTGAGCACTACACATGTGTCTAACCCCAAGAGCTCCTAGAATAGGGGGCTTTGGCCAACATGAGAACAACTTTGGAGGCCTCTTCTTGGTTCTTCCTATGAGGCAGCCCTCACGTTGGCCCAAATCTGTGAAGGGAAAAATCAGTTTTGCTAACCTCCTTTGTCTGTGAGGCGACTTCCTAGCAGGCCCAGGTCAGCTCCACCCACCTAACTGTGACTTGGCCAGACCTGAGACCTCTGAGTGGCTCCCCTGCTACCGCCCAGCCAGGCTGGTATGAGTGTAGGCAGGCAAAACTGGCCACAGTGGAGGGCCAACCTGGAGCTGCGCAGCCTGTGCTTCCTGCTGTGGCCTCACACGCGGGGCCTGACCTAAGCCCTTTCTTCCCAACGAGCCCACCAAGCTCCTGCCCCATGACCCTACAGGGTACACAGCCCTGTCTGCCTGACCAGAGGACGCCAGCGTCCTTGGCTAGCTCCTCCTGGGGAGCTCAGGGCATGGCTGTCCCTGGGAGGGGGGAGGGACTCTACTCCCATGACCCCAGTGGGCATGTCTAGCAGGCCCCGGGGGGTTGTTCTGAATCAACCTCATTTTCTGGGTCTTTCTGAAGCACTTGAGGGGAAGGGTGTAGGGGGAAAAACCGAGTCTAGGGGCTCCTGGCAAAGTCCTGCTGCCCAGGGACGGTGAGTGAGGTGGGTGCCTCAGCCACTCTCTGCCCAGGACTCCAGCCTGCAATGCCCGCCTGCCTGCAAGTGGATGTGGGGCAACAGTGCATGAAAACGTGCATGTGCGGCTCCAGCCTGGGCTCTGAGGGCTGCTCTGTCCTGGGGGGAGGTCAGTGCATGTGGACAGAGCCCAGCATGGCTGTCCCCAAGTGACCAGCTAGGGGTGAAGCAAAAGCTGTGGCCTGTGAGTCAGGGACCTACTCTGCTAGGTCAGTCCACCTTAGTCAGCCACGCTGGTCCCAGCAGACACGGCTAGTGGGGGTTTCGGTTCCGCAGTCATCATATCTTTGTGGATGACAGCCTCTGGGGGTGACGTAGCCACCTCATGGCCCTTGGAGGGCCAAGGGGTGGCTTTGTAGACAAGTTGCCATTCATCTAAACACCCTAGTCAGGTCCCATTGGGCCTTCACTGAGAGGAGACCAAAAACTGTTGGGTCAAGCTGTGGGTGGCGCCAGTCACCTGGCCCTAAAGGCCCCTGGGGGTGTGGTGGGGCAAGGGTCTCTTCTTGTCTCCTGGGGGTCTGGGACACCTTGGCTCCTGTTCCATAATAAATACATTTGACTTGAGAGAACACATGGGAACTGCCCTCTGCTTTTCCCCACTACTGTAGATGAGATTTCACAGATTCTGGAGTTGATCTGGGACAGATGTAAATTTACGGGAAACGTGGTGGCCAGGAGTGGCACTCGGGATGGGCAAAGCCTGGGCATCCATGCTGCACCAGACGTGTGCAGGGGCTAGTTGAAGGAGGCTTCTAAGATGGAGATTTGGAGAATTGATTGAAAGGACAGTTGTCTGCTTGGGGCATCCCAGAGCCTAGGCCGCGGTGGTAACCGTCAGTCCCCAGAGGGGAATTTGTTAAGGCGCATCTGTCACCAACTGGAGTAGCTCAATCTGAAATTCAGGTTTTGATAGAGTCAGGGGCTGACAGGGGACCCTCTTAAGACTTAGGATGGGCCCGGGACTCTGTTGGCCTCTGGCCGGGTCCTGCCCTTGGCACTGCAAGAGCCGACTTGTCTGTCTGTCCACTGGTTCTAACTCGGAGCCAGCTTCTGGCCAAGGCTGCATGGTCTTGGAGGGTGACTCTCCTCAAGCCTGTCTTAAATTAGGACGGGGGTTGACTGACTTACCTGCATGATTATGAGTACCTTCAAGACAGGCCGGATGCCTCATTCCTCCAGGGCCTGGGAGGAGCTCCTGCTCAAGCTGCGTTCTACAGCCAGCTGGCTGGTCAACATGGTCAGGGTCCCTACTCAATGACCTCAGCACCCCACATCAGGGGATCTGGGGACCTCTCTGCGCCGCCAGAAGTGGGGAAGGGAGCAGAGGGGCTAAGCCAGCAGGGAAATGGGACCATGCTGGTCAGGAGCCAAGCTGCTGACCAGCAGACCCAAGCCCCCATGTGTGCAGGCCTAGCCTGTCCCTCTGTGGGGAGTCATGGGGGGGCAGACTGTGCCTGCCACCAGGAGAAATTCCCAGAGTTTCTGCTTGGGAAGTGGGACGTGGCCCTGAGAAGGTGGTGTTTCAAGCCCTGGGATGTCAAGGGGCAAGCTGCTGCAGGTGTCAGGGTGTGATCCTGAGTCTAGCCTCAGGTGGTGGGGGGAGGGAGGGGCTCAGCCATTGGGAGGATGAAATGCAGAAGTACCTGGGGGCCAGGAGTGGTGATTTGCGGCCCCCTTCACATGCTGGAATCCCAAGATGCTTCTCGTGGAGCGAGGCTCACTGGACGAGCAGGACGGGCCAGGAGGCAGGCGTGGTGTAACTCTGCTCCCTGGATCCTGGGAGGGAAACTTGAGAGAACTGTGTGGGAGGGAGGCCGGGGAGAGAAGCCACACCCAGGACCGTGCTTGCATTGGCAGCGGGCTCTCTGGCCAAGTGCAGCACCCACTGTGGGCATCCTGAGCCCAGCAGGGTGGTTGGTATGGGCACCTGCCCGGGCATGAAGGAGGTCAGCAGACCTGCTCGCTGCACCTTAGGCCTCCACCTCGCGATCTTGGAAATGAAATGGGAACCCTCACCGGTGGTTCTCAAACTGAAGCTGCGTCAAGATCCCCCAGAGGGCTTGTTGGATGGATGCTGAGTCCACCCCGAAGTGTCTGCCTCAGGAGGTCTGGGGTGGGCCCAGGGATGCTGGCGCTGCTGGGGACCCCACTTTTAGACTTACCATACTTCTCTGGGTCTCAGTGTGCCCATCTGTCTGATGTACCCACCCCAGTTACCAGATCCTTCTGGCAGAAATTGTTCCCTGCCCAGGCCTGCTGGGAGTTGGCCTGGTTCTTCCAAGCAGGCAGTGCCCACTTCTGGGCCTGACCAGCTCATGCTTTTGGAGCTGGTGGGGGTGTGTGTGTGGGGGGGGTGCCACCTTTCTCTCCCGGCTGTGAGCCCCCTCCAGCATCTGTCCCTGGCTGCTTCTCTAACCTGCTGCACTGCAGCCATCCCGGGCACTGCTTGGCTCTGTGAGTGGGCAGGTGGGACTGTGAGTCTTGGGCCCTCTGCCTACCTGAAACGACACAAATCTTGTTTTCTTTTTTTCTCCTTCCTCACTCCCTTTCCTCCCTTACTCACCTTTCCTTTTCTGTAAGGTAAGCGGAATCTTCTTTTTTTGTAGTTCTGTGATTAAAATGAGCTGAGGGGCAGAAGGCCCTGTAGGGGTGTGGCGGGTCAGGGCTGGCCGGGAAGGCAGGCATGCTGGCTCTGAGTTGGAGGGCGACACTGGAGCCCTATCCCGTTGTGTGGGGTGGGGGTGGGAGGCTGGGGGGTAGGGAAGGTGGTGTTTGGTGTGAGACAGGCTGTCTGGGCTTGTGTGTCTAGGGGGGAGGGAGCCCACAATGGAGATGTCCCTTTAACCCTTGGTCCTTGACCGAGTGTGTTATCCTGCTCACCCCACTCAGAACCCAGGATCCTTGAGAGGTGGGCTGAGAGGCCATGCTGGCTGCCCCTCCAGTGCTCTGAGCCAGGAGAGGCATAGGCTGGGGTCTGACAGGGGGTCCTGCCTGCTGGGGGTGGGGGTGGGGGGCAAGGAGGCAGCAGGTTTCTAGAGTTGGGACAGGCCCCTCCGTGTATGGGTGGCCAGCTGAGGCCCATCCACCTTCTGCTGGAGAACATGGAGAATTATATGGGGGTGCCCACCACTCCAAGCTGGTGCCCCTTCCTGTTTCCCAGATGGAGGGGGTGGCAGGGTAGAGGGGTCTGTGCCCTGCCTTCCTCTTAACAGAGCCTGCATGCTGGCCAGAAGCCAAGGGTCGCAGGTGGGAGGAGAAGTCTGGAGTCTGATCCTGGATTGTCATGGAGGATAGCCAGGGGAAGGGAATACGGGGCTTTGGACTGCCCTGCTCAGAACTGGACTCAGATCTGCTTTGAGCACCCCTGTCCCTGGACCTTGGGGCCCAGTGGTCTTGGGGAAAGAGTCCTAGCTCCTTGCAGGCCACTGGGGCCACGCTGAGGAGGGTGGGCTGCAGTGGGCCTGGGCCCTCACTCACTGACGCCTGTTTCCTCCCAACACAGCAGCCAAGAGTTTACTCAACAAGAAAGCAGACGGAGTCAAGGTGAGGCTCGGCTCGGCCCTGGGGGCCTGGGGGCCCAGAGCCTGCAGCTTTGCCCTCACCCCTGAGGCTCCTGCTGGGCCCCCTCCCCTCCATACCACACAGGCCAGAGGAAGGACTGTGCCCCCCTTCCTCCCCTGATGGCTCCTCTTCCTTTCTCCACAGCCCCAGACGAATAGCACCAAAAACAGTGCAGCTGCCACCAGCCCCAAGGGGACGCTTCCTCCTGCCGCCCTGGTACTGAGCCCCTCAGCCCCCTGCTCCACGGCCCTCCCGCAGCCCAGCTCTGTGGTGGCCTCCCATCAGGAGGCCTGGGGTAAAGGTGGGGTCTGGTCCCCGCCTGTCTCTGATGAAGATACTTGGCCCCTAGCCCCACAGCCCCTCGGGTATGGGATGAGGACTGCCCCACCCCCATTCAGGCAGGAGCAGGGTTGTGCCAGGGAGTCCCTCTTGGGGGGAAGGGGACAGGCCCAGCTTCCCGTCTGTGTGACTTGTAGTCAATAGTGAGAGGCCTTCAGGGGGCCAAGACTCAGGACCCAGGGTGCCCACACTCAGCTCCTCCATCTGCAACAGGAGTACACAGACCCCAGGCCTAGCCAATTCTGCAGGAGGAGTGGGCTGGGGGGAGTTAAGATGGACAGCGGACACTCCAAGCCCTGCGCTCCCTCCTGGATGTTGCAGGGGTGTGCCCTCTGGGAGGTGGACGCTTTGCCACTTCCCTCTCACCAAGCTTGGTCACGCCTCTGGAGGCTTTGGCTTCCCCCAGGAAGAATGGGGAGGCCTGATATTAGCACTGGAGCCCATTCAGAGATCTGCAGGGAGGCGGAGATCCTTGGTGGTTTCCCTGATGATGGCCAAACTGTAACCTTTGGGTCTAGGCCAGCAGCAGCCAAGGCAGTTTCCCATCAGAACCCCATCCCACAGGCCCCGAGATGAATGGGGGGTTGTGGGTGGGGTGGGAGCATGGGTGGGTGGAAGATACCTCAATGGGAGGGGCCCAGACACCCCCTGCTGGGGAGGGGTGGTGTGGACACGAGGTTAGAGGGACCTGCCAGCTCTGGCCCTTGTCTGGGCGGGGATGGAGGGTTCTGTCCAAGGGAACCTTATGGCTGGTGATGGTGAGTTGTGACCTACCTTGGGGGTTGGCCTTCTTGCCAGGGGTGCTGTGTGCCTATGGAGGGCCTGGTTCTATCCCCAGAGGATAGGGTTTGCTGGTCCACAGTGTCTGAGTTTGCTGGAAGCACATTTGGTGACGCCATGGGTTCCAGGCCTGATTGCCAGGAGTCACAGGAAGGCTATTTGCCAAATGGCATTCCAGTAGTGGGGGCAGCCTCGGCCCAGGAGGGGAGAGCTGGGTGGGCATGGCAGGAGGGTGGCCTGGGGCCTCCGAGCGGCCTCGTAGCCAGCCCCGTCTCCGACCCTGTCCATCTCATGTGCCACCCCACCCCATGGCATCTTCAAACCTGTGCCCTACCATGCTAGGGCGGAAGGTCTGGGCAGCAAAGGTTGGGAGACAGTGCCCATAAGCGGTGCCCACACACATGCAGCTTCTCACTACCACCTCAGCCCACCTGCTCCATTCCCTTCCAGCTGGCAGCACCCACACCAACCAGCCTGGGCAAATGCGCTTGTTCATTCAAGCTGGTCCAGCCCAGGTCCCTCTCCCAGCCTGCTCCACCTCCTGTGGTCATCTCCTCCCTCCATCGCGCTCTGCTGCCTCTCTCCTCTCTCCCAGGCTCCTCCTGTTGGGCCTTTCTCTCCTCTCATCTCACTTTCCCTCTCTTTCCCTCCTCTGTGCTTCCTTCTTCTGTAGGAGCCTCAAACCACTGTCATCCATAACCCAGTGGATGGGATCAAGGTACGGTGGCGCTCCTCACCCTTGGGAGGTTCTGCCCCGGCAGGAGCAGCCCCAGGCCCTGCGACGGTCTGGGACACTGACCCCAGGAGAAGCATTTGTGCCAAGTGTGGAGGGGGCTGGTGTGTGGTGACCCCCTCCAAGGCCCGGGCACTGTCCTGGGAGGCAGTTGTACCGAGTCGATCTTACCCCTGGGAATGGGGTCCATTTCTCAGGATCCCTCCCGGCTGCCCGCTGCCCTCTCTGCACTGGCTTGCACAGCTAGGAGTGTGGGGGCCATTTCAGAGGTCCCAGGGGAGGGGCTGACGTGGGCTGCCCAGTGTGCCCCCATGTGGTGTGGGGAGGGGAGCAGCACAGACCTCTGTGACCTTGTCCATTGCTCGCTGCGCCCGGCCCCCAGCTTCCTGCTGAGTGATCTCTCCCCTGCCCTTCTCTCTGCTCTGGCATCCCATCCCATTGGCATCTTCACCCTCGGGCCAGGGAAGGGGCTGGCTCTCCGGGGTGGTGGGAGGGATGAGCCAGCGGCCGAGCTGAGTTTCTAGGACCAGTGCCACCCCGCCTGCACCCAGGCCTGCAGACAGACCCCTGCCTGGGCCTGGTCCCCTCACTGTGGGCCAGGACCAGGAGATCACAGGACACTGCCTCTTGGTTGGCTTAGACCCAGGGAGCTAGGAAGGGCCTGGGCAACCTCCTGGGGGACAGGTGTTCCTTGGACCCTCTGTCTGGAGTGAGAGTCTTGTTTCTCTTCAAGGAGTCACTAAACAACTGAGGCCTGTGATGTGTCCCCTGATCCTACCATTTAAAGACTCCCCACTTTTGGTTGAAGGCCCAGAGCAGTGTGTCCAGTAAGGGGCCCAGAAAGGGTACCTCAGGGATCCCGAGAAAAATGTTCCTTCTGAGGAGTAAGCAGACCTCCTGAGAACTCAGTGACAGGGGTACTGTCCTTGGCTTCTTATCTGAAGGGCAGCAAGTGACTGACAGGGAGGGAGATAGATGCTGGGGGCTTCCTCCCCCTGCCCCAAGGCCACCTGTGAGGTGAGACTGGGGTTGGCTGGACAGACCGGGTCTGGGGGGAGGCAGGGGGCAGGAAGGGAAGAGGTATGGGTGACATCTTGCTCTGCCTAGGGCCAGACTGAAGTTCCTGGGGCCCTTCCGGAAGCTTCTCACCCTGTCTGCCAAAATGCACAGGCTGGGGCTGCCTTGACACTTCACCAGGAGACTTGGAGTCTCGAAAGGCCTGTTTTCCTCTGTGAAAGAGTCGTCTGAAAACAAGGAGTCTTTCCACTGGGCGTGTCTTATGGGAGAAGCCCGGGCCCTGGACTGTTGGGGACATAGAGGCAGAACCCTTGAGGGGTTGACCGGCCCTGGGGGACAGTGTGAAGAAGCTTCAGCATTGTCTGTGGGGTGCTGGGGGCTGGGGATGGCGGTTTCTGAGGGTGTCTCCCCTGAGGGAGCCCCCTGGTCTCCAGGCCTGCGTGGGCTGGCACAGAGACCACATTCTGACCTCTGCCTCCCCCTGTCTCTCCAGGAGTCTTCTGACAGCACCCACACCACCATAGAGGATGAAGACACAAAAGGTACCCACAGGGGCCGCTGTGGTGGGCCATCAGTGGACTGGGTCCCAGGTCCAGGAGCTGGGACAGGAGAGGCTGGAGTTGGCTGCTTGGGTATCTGCTGGAACCGACCCTGCTCAGAGACACAGCGGTCACAGTCCCACTGAGCCTAGGAGCTGGGCCTGCTCAGTGTGTGTGCAGAGAGCCCTTGAAATGGGCAGTGTCCAAGCAGAGCCCGGTTAGCTGGGGATCCTGACAGCAAGCAGGCAAGGAAGTGAGGCGCTCCTGTGGGGGGCTGCTTCTCCTCACCTGTGCCCCCACTGGCTATGGGGGCCAGGTGCCCAGTTCCCAGCAGGGAACAAGTTCGTGGTTGAATCTGCTGTTTCATTGCCTCAAGTTGTTTAAATATGTGGCCCTGCCTGGTTGGCAGTTGATAGGTGGACAGGGAGCAAGGGGGTGCCTCCCAGGTTCTGGCTCATTGTGGGACAGTGGGGTTTGCAGAGAATCATGTTGGGTCCTCGTTCTGGCCTCAGGGCTCCTCTCCCTATACTGAGCAGGGCCAGTGGTGTTGCCTGGGTTCCAGAAAAGCCCTGGAGGGTCCTGCAGGACATGCTTGCCTTGGCTCAACCCCTGTTCCACCCTAGGCTTTCCAGGCCTGGGATCTGGCGACTCACTACCCTGCCCAGGCCGCCTGCCCCACTTGGGACCTTCTCACCCTCCACCATAACATTGGTGTAAATAAGCCTTGAGCACTCTCGGGGTTGCCCGAGTGCCCCGCAGCCAGCCTCTCTGCACTTTGGGGGTTAAAACTTCATACTTTGTTCCTTCCCACCCTGTGCAGGCAGCAACTCTGTCCTGAATGTTCCCCAAACCCCCAAATGGAGTTGAGCACTGGGCTTTGGTTCCTGGATGTGGAGAGAGTAGACATTCCTGTCGTTTCCCCAGACTCCAGCAGGCCCCAAGCCATGGGCATGGAGGCTGTCCAGACCTTGTGGTTTGGCGCTCATCCTGGCTGTTTGGGGAACTGAAATGGCCCCAGCCTGCAGGAGGCGGGGTAGAGGACTGGCCTGGTCTGCCTCTTCAGACTCTGACCCCTTGTCTGACCGGGAAAGGGTGGGAAAATGCCCGAGCAGTCCTTGAAGATAGGGCAGGCCCTCCAGTGCTGAGGGGCAGGGCCTTGGCCTGTCTCAGCTATGTTGTCCATCTGATGCAGACGTGGCCTAGCCAGGTGCCACATGCCCCAGTAGCCCTGGACAGTCTTGTGTCTGCTCCACATGCCTGCTGTGAGATAGCATAGCTCTGGGCATGCACAGGGGTGACGCCAGCCCCAGGGGCCCCTGGACACCACTGTGTGGACTACAGGTGACTTTGAGCTGTGTCATGGATCTGGGATTGTCCTTCTCCTGCCCCCTTCTCTCCCGCCTGCCCCAGCCCCCAGGGTCACTGACATCCTGAGCTCCGTGAGGAGGGACTCCGGAGCCCTGGGAGACGAGGGCCCCCACCCTGCCTGTCTCTGGTTCCCATTAGCCCCCTGCCCACCCAACGTAAGTAATGAGGCCACTGCTGCTTCCTGGTCTCTGAGGGGATTCCAGAGCCAAGGGCTGGCCAAGCTTGGGCTCCAGACAATCCTCGCACAGTCCCCCTCCCACAGAGGTCCCGGTGGCCTCTTCCCTGAGGCCTCCTGTGGCCTGTGGGGGCCTCCCTGAGCCGACCTTCCTGCTCAGGCAGCAGATTCAAGCATCACGTTGCCTCAGGGCAGGGGAGAGCTGCTGTGCTTCCTCTCCCCTGCTCCTTCCCTGTTGCCTCCTCGTTTGTCTCCCTTTCACCTCTGTCTGTTCACCCAGCCCCCAGGATCTCTGACATCCTGAGTTCTGTGAGGAGGGGCTCGGGGACCCCAGAAGCCGAGGGCCCCCTGCCCACCTCATGTAAGTAGTGCCCCTCAGGGCTGCTGCCTCGGCTGCCAAGGGCTCCTGCGAATGGCCGGCACTGAGTGACTCCCTGTGCCCTGCCGTGCATGGCCTCAGCTGCACCCCAGGCTGGGATGCCCCAGGCCTGGCTCACCATCGGGGCCTGACTGGGTTCTGGGGGCACATGCCCGAGCTCTGCAGAGCAGCTTCTGGATTCTCCCTTAGGGCCCAGCTCCCCCATAACTCATTCTCACCTCCTACCTGCACTGCTCTCCAGTCCCAGACCTCCCTCAGAGTCCCCCAGGCTCTTCTGAGGCCACCTGCCCTCCCTGCCTCCCTCAGACTACCTGCTGAGACCTTTCCAGACTCACAGCGGGCACCTGGAGTCCCACTCCCTGAGCACCTCTCTCAGTCAGCGAGTGCTGAGTAAGGTGCCAGAGCCCAGCCAGCACCCTTCTTTTTATTCTTTCACTCACGCTTTCTCCCACCTCTTGAGTGCTCACCATGGACCTGTCACGTGCGGGCTGCATCCTCTATCTCTGGTGGCCTCTGCCCACAGCAGCTTCCCACCCCTCAGCACACACCTGGATGGGTGCGTGCGTCTGCCTGAACACTCCTGGAACCTGTTCCTCATTCCCCCGGTCCCACTCTGTCCCCACCCCCTTCTGTTCTTCCGTCTCCCCACATCCTCCTCCCAATCCTGCTCCCCAGCCAGCTTGGCTCATCGGCGCATAGGTCTTCTCTCCTGTGTACCTTTCCTCCCCCTCGTGTTCACCTCTGTCTGTTCGCCCCAGCCCCCAGGATCTCTGACATCCTGAGCATGGTGAGGAGGGGCTCAGGGACCCCAGAAGCTGAGGGCCCCATGCCCTGCCTGTCTCCGACTCTCCCCGGCCCCTTGCCCACCCCGAGTAAGTAGCACCTTGAATGGGGCTGCTGGCTGTTCCTGGGGGCTCACAGGGGTGCCGAGACCCCCGACAGCTGTGGTGTGCTGCCCCCCTCTCTGAGAAGGGCCCAGTTTATGGGGGAGAACTGAGAGGGGGGATGCAGAGAATTCCACATGAAGAATTTCAGAAAAGAGTTTGTGGTTAAAGCTTGTGAGTGTGAATACTCTTTGTAGGAAGAGAACCTGAAAACCAGTTTGGGGTGAAGCTGAGCCTCACACTCTTGTGGTCTAGGGTTTTTCCTACAGCAAAAAATGTGGCACATGGAAGCTCAAAGACTCAGCACTCGTGATGGTGGGCACTCGCTGGGTGCTGCCTGGGGTCGTGACTGGGGTCATGCCCTGGAAGGGTGGTTCTCTTGGACCGTGATGCTCTGGGAGGCAGAGAAAGGAATGTCTGGTTCTGAGAAGTCTGCGATTGGTGTTGGGGGCCACTGCCTCCAATGGGGCCAGGCACTGGGGTTGTGGCCTGGGCCTGGGCTGGCTGGGGCCAACTCCCCAGACTGGGAGGAGCCACCTGCTCTAGCTGTCTGCCAACTGCCTGCCAGTATCGCTTACAGGGGTGGATGACATCCCAGGGCTGCAGCCTCCACCCCCACCTCTGGGGAGATGCTCTCAGAGAAGCGACTGCTGGGCTGGGGCATGGCGGGGGAGTGGCTAGGTGAGTGCTCAGATGGGGAAGACATTGATCCCCCCAAAAGTCAGACCTGGTGGGACTGAGGGGGGAGTCAAGGTCACTGGGGAGAGGGAGAGGCTGGGAGACTGAAGCCTTCACGCTCTGAAGGCACACTGAATCTACCCCCAGTGGCCAGGAGGGCATAGAGCAGCCTCTGGGGAAGCAAAGAACCTAGCAAAAGACTTGGGTGCTTTTGGCCCAAGGGGCAAGGGCAAATGGTGGGGCAACTGTCCCCTGGCCCTTCAGGCTTGGCTGAGGGGACTTGGAGATGAGTCATGGAGGTGAGAGACCATCACTTGCTGGTGGTGGAGGTGGGGGGTAACCTTATGGTGGGCTGTGGTGGGTGTGCAGCAAGCCTGTGAGGGGAGTCAGAGCCCCCACCACCCGCCCCATTTATGTAGCATCTCATCCCAGCTGATGCCTCCAAGTCTCCATTTCCTAGATCTCCTAACACCAAGTTTTACAGATGAGGACCCTGAGGCTTGGTGACATGGAGGGGTGCATCCACCTGCAGTGGGACCCCCACCCTGGGTTGCGTATGGCCCTCAGAGTCTGCACAGCCGGGGCGGAGGGTTCTGAGGACAGAACCTGCTATAGGTGCTGAGGGCGCAGGCTGACCCAGCAGGCACAGCGCAGACCTTCTCCTCAAGGGTCTATGTGGCTAGGGCATGAGAGCAGGACTGAACGGAGGCACCACGGGGGTCTGCGGCTGGTAGGTGTGGTCAGGACATGTGGACGAGGCAGGCAGGGGAGCAGGCGAGATCGTCCACGGCAGCCATGCGCAGGGTGCAGAGTGCTGTGTGCTCGGGCGGCTCTGAGCTCGCACTGGAACATTTGGAGACTGAGGGCAGAGGGACGGCCCCCACCAGTCTCCCTCAGGGAGCAGGGTCCTGGTTCCTGGATGCGTTCCCCCCACCCCGTCTTCAGCACCCAACTTCTTAGTGTTGGGGCTCTGAGGTGAAGGAATGGGGTGGGGTCAGCCCAGAGAAGGGACCTCTGAATGTGCAGGGTTGATACTGGCTCTCGGTGGGTCTGAGAGGGTGAGTGCTAGCACCAGGTGCCCCTCCCCTTCCATCACCAGGGCCAGGGGCCACCTCTCCCAGCACCGAGACCCATCTCCCATTTCCTGGGAATGCTCCTGCCAGCTGTCTTGGTGTATTCCAGGGTCGGTGCCCATGGGCCCATGCCCTAGGCTGTGTTCTCCATATTTGGGGATTACACACAATCCAGGCTGATCCTGTGTAACTGCCTGCTTGTTGGGACTCTTGAGGCCCTCACAGCTGCCAACACACAGGGCTTGAGGCTAGTCTAGGCTCATCCAGGTCCCCCTGAACCCTTGGCCAGCAACTGGGCTTCTTGCCTGTTAACTCGTCCCAAGACAGCTGGAGGGAGGGTGGGGCCTCTGCTTCACTCTGGGACCCCTCTAAAGCCAGAACTTTATTCACCCAGCTCTGTCCCTGCAGTTATTTCGGGAGGGAGGCACTAACAAACTTCACCACCCCGGGCATTCCTTGTGCGGCGTGCCACTTGGGGAGGTACAATTGCACTGCACACCCCTCTGCAGGCAGGTGGCATGTGGCCCACACCCCACTGACCAAGCTCTGCAGCTTCCGCTTCCCCGTCTGTAGAATGGGGACTGAAGCTAGTGCCAGACTTCAGGCTCTGCGATGTGTGCTGCGATGGAGGATCTTTCCTGCCTCCCTTTACTTTTCCTTTACACTGACTCCCATGTCAAATGGTAGTGCCTTTATAAGTCTTCAGTGGTATTTCATTACGTGAACGCTTGGTTTCGCTTACCGTAGTGTGTGAGGTGACTGCCTGTAAAATCAAAGTATGCTGAAAACAGCAACTCGCGTGTTCCCCCCACATCTCTGGCCCCCAATGCCAGGCCCCACCTGCCCGTTCCCTGCCACAGCAACCCTCCCCTGCCCAGGTTCCCGTCCAGAGAGGCCTCCCCTGGACCTCTCCACCTTCCTCCTCCTGCTTCCCTGCTGCTGCCAGCTGCGGGTGCACTTGGGGTGGGGGCTACTTGCACTGCCCATTAAGATGGGAAAATAATAAGTGTTGGGGTGTGGGCGATGTAGGCACTTCCCCTTGGCAAGATTAGCAGGATGGCCTGGAGCTGACAGAGGTGGTAGCAGGGGGCACTGGGCTTGTTGCAGGAGGAGGAAGGTGGAGAGGTCCAGGGGAGGCTTCTCTGGATGGGAACCTGGGCAGGGGAGTGTTGCTGTGGCAGGGAAAGGGCAGGTGGGGCCTGGCATTGGGGGCCAGAGATGGAGGGGAACAGCTGAGTTGCAGTTGGGAGGAAGGTACGTGAGGCCCCAGAGAGGAGAGGGCCAAGGAGAACTGGGAAGACACCCAGGCATAGGGTGAGAGGTGGGTGGGTTGCCCAGAAGCCTCTCAGAGGGGGAGCTTTGCTACTGGGGTGGTTTGTTGTGGGTGGTGGGCCCTGCCCGAGGGGCGGGGGGAGTGGAGAATGGCATAGCAGGTGTTTGCGCGGAGCTCTGGGGGAGGTGTGTGTAGAGCCGAAGTGGAGGTGACCACAAGGCACTGGCACTCACAGCCTACACTTCTGGGGGCCGGCTTCCAGGGCCACCTAGGCAGGTGGGACCTGGATTTCTGCAGACCACCCCAAGCCTCAACTGTGACGGGGTGCAGACAACAAAGCTCAGAGAGAAAAGGAAATAGAACTGTAGCGGAGGTACATTGGCTCCAGAGAAAGGGCCACTTCAAGGTAGGGAAGGCTACATGTGCTTACAAGCCAGCATGAATAGTGTGCGCACGCGCGCACACACACACACTCACCTGTGCGCATGTGCCCACACTCCCATGTGACACAAGCACAGGCTTGCACATGTGTACCCAGCCACTCAGGTGTCACTGAGCGCCTCCTGAAGTCCTGCCGGGAGCCCCGGCAGCACATTTCGGGCTCCACTGGTGCCTGGGCGTTCCTGGGTTCACACAGCGCCCAGCGCCCACCTCTCAGGGAATGTGAACACCTCGGCAGCTGAAAGTGCTGGTGGGAGGTCAAGCAGGCAGCCCCGCGGCGGGGCTGTGAGCACATGCTTCAGAATGCTGAGTGCACCCCCTTTACAGCTGGCAGTCCATGCTCTGGGGATTTAGTTCACGGTGTGGCCGTTCCTGGCAGCACCGGCAGGTGAAGATTGGAGGCCCCCAAATGTCTCATTGAGTGAGGACGCCCACCCATGGGGCAGCAGGGCAGAGAGCTGGCAGGAACACTCGCAGCTAGTCTAGCCACTGGGGGGACCCTACATGGCTCGGCTTGTGCTTAGCCACAAGCAGGTGTTAAGAACTCCCATGACAGTTGTGTGAGTTTGTGCACATTCAAGTGTGAATATCCCTGCAAGGAAGCGGTTAAGAACCTAACTCAGGACAGAGCTTCCCTCAAGAGTGAGTGAAGATCAAGTTTGAAGGGAACACAGCCATCTTCCACTATATCCGTAAGGTTTTCTTTAGAACAAGTCTAAGGAAAATCATTCAGATTTGAATCAGCAGGGTGTGAGTTCTATTATTCTGATTCTTCTGGATGTTTAAAGTATTTTGCATGAAAAGAAACTGTAAAGAGACATGGGGATCTGGATCTCTAGTTAAGTACCCTGGGCCTTAGCCTGCCTAGGAACAGAGGCCATGTGGGCAGCTCCAGGAAGGCGGCTCCGCCCAGAAGGTGGGGATGGTACAGTAAGGATGGTTGGTGCTGGAGGGTGACACTTGGACCCAGGATGCAAACGGTGGTGATCTGGAGGAGGGGACACCAGCTGGCATTCTTGGGCCTCCTGGCAGAGGAGGGGTGAAACACACTTGGACTGCACTTGCCCTTGCTGCACCCCTGCAGTGCTACCCCCCAGGGCAAGAAACCTTGCCCTGCAGCCCAGCCCCACCCCTCCTTGGTGGACCCTTCCTGAGTTCTGGATGCAGGAGGACTAAGTGAGCAGATCCCAGATGGGCATGGAGCCAGGAAGCCTGGGGCTGTGGCCTGGAGGGACTTGGGGGAAGGTGGGCAGCAGGTACTTTGGCCTGCAGGTGGCAGGTGATGGCAGATTTTGTTTCCCCTTCCTGCATTTTCCAGACATTTTGTAACGTGGTGAAGCATTTCTATCATTTTAAGATGTTTTATTTAAGGCAACTAAGAGAAAAGCTTGTTGGACTTGGAAATGTGGGGGTGGTTGGAGGAACCACTCTGAGCTGTGTGGGGGCTGGGGCTGCACTGTCTTTCCTGGAGAGGAGCGGTGGGTGGGCCCGGCTGCTGCAGACCTCTCTCCACTCACTTCACCTCACTCCCGTCCCGTGGGCCGCCACGGCTGTCCGTGGGTCACTGGGTGGCTGTGTCTCCCTGCAGCGAGGAAGCAGGAGATCATCAAGATCACGGAGCAGCTCATTGAGGCTGTCAACAACGGTGACTTTGAGGCTTATGCGTGAGTCGAGCACCTGGGCCACTCGCTTGGGGGGCTGTGCGGGTTGCCCCTAATCTTGCTGTGGCTCTCCCCTGGGATGTGGGGGATGGAAGGGATGGACCCAGCAGGTGAGGGGTGGGTTCAGAGAAATGCGCCCCCTTCAATGGGTCTGGCCCCCAGGAAAATCTGCGACCCAGGCCTGACCTCGTTTGAACCTGAAGCTCTGGGCAACCTGGTCGAAGGGATGGACTTCCACAGATTCTACTTTGAGAACTGTGAGTGCGGGAGCTGGGCGTGGACAAGGCAGCGCCTGGGAGCCCCACCACCCCTCAGTCAGGGGCCAGGGAGGTCCTGTCCCCTTTGTGCCCAGGCTGGGCCAGCCCCAGCTGCCACCTCCTGTGGCAGAGCCCCCTGGGGTCACGCCGGCCCTGCAGCCTCCTGAGGGGTTTTGGGCTCCCAGAAGAGTCAAGCCCTTCCGAGGGGGAGCGGGAGGGGGCAGAAGGCTTTCAGGCAGTGGCTGGAGGAGGGATCAGGCAGGCGGGGGCGACCGTGGTGGTCAGCCCCCACCCGCCCGCTGGCAGTGCTCGCCAAGAACAGCAAACCCATCCACACGACCATCCTGAACCCGCACGTGCACGTCATCGGCGAGGATGCTGCGTGCATCGCCTACATCCGCCTCACGCAGTACATCGACGGGCAAGGCCGGCCCCGCACCAGCCAGTCTGAGGAGACCCGCGTGTGGCACCGCCGTGAGGGCAAGTGGCAGAACGTGCACTTCCACTGCTCGGGTGCGCCCGTGGCCCCGCTGCAGTGAAGGTGAGCGCCCCGGGTGGAGGTCTGGGTGGGGCCGCAGCACGCGTGAGCTAGCCCTCTGCTAGGTGGGCCTGAGGCCCCACCTTGCAGACAACACCCCCCGGGGTCGGTGGGAGAGGGGCTGCTTAGAAGCTGACTGCCTGCCCCCCACCCACCTCTTTTCAGAGCTGCGCTGGTTTCACGGGACAGACTCAATGTTTGGAGCCCAGCTGCCCTCAGGGGGCACGGCCTGCCTGTCGCATGTTTGTGTCTGCCTCGTTCCTCCCCTGGTGCCTGTGTCTGCAGAAAACCAAGACCAGATGTGATTTCTTTTTAAAAACAAGATGACAGTTACAACCACAAAAAAAAAAAAAAAAAAAAATGATGTGGATGAAATGGAAAAAACTAAAGGAAAAGCTGTAAAAATCACTGGCATTTGTGGGGCTTCAAACCGACCGGCTGCTCCCCACCCAAGCTCCATGTGTGTTCGTCCGCTCCTGGCCTCCGGGGACCAGCTGGGGCAGTGAACTTGTCCAGGGATCTGTTGCCGTTGAATGGCGCCCACCCCCAAGGCGTCTGCATCCTCCCTGCCATGCATGGCTCGCTGTCAGGAGTGTCAGGTGTTGTCTGGGAAGGAAGCTGTGGGGTGCCTGCTCGTGACTGTCCCTCCTGCTTCTCTTCCCTTCCTCCCCGTGAAGGAGGGGTGTCGGTTCCCTTCCATGCCCGGTGTCCCCAGGCTCCCGCAGGCCCAGGGCTCCAGCTCTGGTCCTTCCAGGGTCAGGGAGGTGCAAAGGGGGGCATGCCTTAGTTCCAGACCTGGTGCCTGGCAGGAGATGCGCCAAGAGGACATGTTTAGCTGCAGCCCTGGCGGGGGGACATCCCCGGGGCTGGCCTCCCTTCTATTTGGAGAGCTTCTCCCTTTATGCCCGCCCCCTCGCCCCCCGCCGTGTGCCCACAGAGGTGTGTGGGCCTGAGTCTCTCGGGCTCTGAACTTGGAAGTACAGGGGTCAAATGGCAGGCAGTGGCTGTGGGGGTGGGGCTGGGTAACACCGGGGTCCAGGCGGGTGTTGGCTGAAGTGGCAGTGACTTGGAGTCTGGGCCTGGAGTGGAAGGGTGGGGAGCACCCAAGGGCAACTGGAGGGGAGGACTATGCTGGGCTGAGAGGGCAGGGCAGGTCTGATGCGGCTAGACCTCATGGAGGCTGCAGGGACCAGCGGTGGGGAGAAGGTGGGCTGGGTCACCCTGGGGACCCCCGTGTGCTGGTGGGAACTGTAGCGAGGCTGTGGGAGTGGTCAAATGGCAGCAGAGAGAGCCCTGGGCATTTGGCCAGAGGGAGGGTGGGGCTGAAACTGGCCTGTTGGGTTATAGTTGGGGGGTGTGGTCAGGGCCCATGACCTCAGAGGTTCAGGGCCCTCCCACCCCAAAACCCGCCCCCTTCAGTTCACGTTGTTTCAACACATTTTCTTTATCTTGCCCCACAAATCAAACCAAGGGAGGGGCATGGAGTGGGGACAGGACACAGGATGCTGATCTCCAACGGGACTGTCCATCGACAGACACACAGAGTGGACACTCACCTGCCCACCACCAACTGTACTCAGTACAGCTGTCCCCACCCGTGGACACAGGGTAAACATCCGACAGGGCTCACCATGGACAGCGTGGGGCCTGGCCACCCTCACCTCCTGGGGCTTCTTCCCCCTCCTACCCACCTGTCATTTCCACGGACCTGCCTGTCTGGGATAATTTGGGGATTTTTTCTGGGGGATAGTTCTTTTGCATGACCTCTCCTGAGCAAGCCACACCCGCTCTTCTAGCTAGATGTCTGCGGTGTGGCTGTGGTGGCGGCCCGCCCTGCAGAGGGCCGGCTGCCTGCGGTGCTGGCCGGCCTCTCCTCTTCTCTTTTTGCTGAGTTTCATTGTCTTTTCTTTCTGAGCCTTGTAAGTGTACAAAAATTATTTTGTTCTGTCTCGGGAAACTGCAAATAAAAGATAACAGGACAAACTTCTCTGAGTGAACTGGGTGCTTTATGCAATGCCCGTTACCTCCATAATCCCCCCTCTGATGAGTGGGCCTGAACTGGCTCAGGCTGCAGAAGTCCCAGACCATGTGCCTTTGTGGGGCCCCTTTGTGGGGCCCCTCTGTGTAATAACAGGTCACAGCTCTGCCAGCTGCCCCCACCCCCGCTGCCTGCAGTTCTCTGTCTGCCCCACCAGCCTCTGAGCCTCCAAGCCCCCAACCTCTTCTCTAGTCACCCCCGTGGCCTCCAAAGATGAGGCTAAGAGGGGAGCTCTAGGTGAGGAGCCCCAGAAGCACATTCCACTGTTCTTTTGTCTCCCCCTCCATCTGTCCAATTCAGTCTCCATGTTACATTCACCATGTGGCCACGGATGCCTGAAACGTGCAGTACGCATAGCTACCCAGGGCCTGCTCTTGCAGGCCACATGCAGAATTGTGCTGACACTGCCATCAGGTGCTGTGGCTGCTGGGGTGGCAGGACAACACGGCAGATGGTGACTGGCAACTCAGGTCGGAGAGGCTCCCAAAGGAACCCAGAGGTGTGGGGGCAGGGGGCAGGCACAAAGTCCCCAGATGCTCTGAGGACAGGGCAGGGGGGAGAGGAGCAGGGCCTGGGCCAGCCCTCTGCAGCTTGGCCCTGGCATGGGAGCCAACCCCTTCCCTGTGATGCCCCTGCCCAGGATTTCCTGTCCTCAACCCTTCCTCCACTGTCTGTGTCATGTCCCTGTGGCATGTCCCTCAGGAAGGACATGTCACTTAGTGACACTGTACCCCTATAATGTAGACACAAAGCCTATGCTGAGTTGGCAATGATGGCATGGCTACACATTCAGGCCAGTGGGGGAGAACTGCTCTGTCCTGCTGGCCCTTCTGCAGGCCTCCATTTTCCTCCTAGCAGCCCTGGACAGCTCTGTGGTACCCAAGATGTACCTTTAAATGGAGATGTGTGGCCCCCACATGCCTGATCCCCAGGACCTACCACCGCTGCCCATCTGTGCCTTAAGGCTTGTGCTTTCCTGGGATAGAAATATAGTCTTCAAGACATCTTAGCCATTGAACATGCCCATTCTGTTGGTCCACGTGACATCTGACCAGACAGGGTCCAGGAGGCCCACTGGTTATCTTGGTCCTCTGAGGGTAGGACAGGATCCCTCTCCAGATTTAGCACCTGGTTGCAGATACCTCCACGTGGACCAGGAGGCCCTCAGTGTAGGTTTTTGGTCTCATGGTCTCTGGCAGGTGTGCACAGGTGAGCAGGCAGGAGGAAGAGTTGCGCCGGGGAGATTCTAGGACAGTGGCCATGAGCAGCAGTGTCTATCCCCGGCACAGTATCTAGGGCTCCGCTCAGTTATCAGTCGTAATCTGAGGAGCTTTTCCAGGCCAGGCCACCCTCTTGAACACACTGCAGTCTTGCGCCACCCTCCTGCTGTGGATCCCAAGTTGAGGTGGGGTGCCGCTCCAGGCCGGTGCATGTGGTAGACACGGCACACAGGGCTGAGGTCCTGGCCCTTCTCCACCCCAGCCCCCCTTGCAGTATCAACACACAGGCAGAGGGAAGTCACTTTAAAAGGCATCTACTTTATACAAAGCTCCGTGGCCTTGGGTAACCTAGCAGGCCCTTCAAGCAGGAAGTCGGTACACGTGGTATAGTCAGAAATCCCAAAGTCGCTTCCAATTTTGAGTCACAAGTACAGGCTGAAAGCAAAGCCCTGGCTGCAATGGAACAGGCAATAGTCTGCAAATGACCAGTTTACTGGGTTGTTCTTCACATTCTGGATCAGACTGCTGGGTCCAGGGAGCAGAGGTGGCCTCTCAGGCTTCCCGCCAAGTCTACCTGATTGGGCCTGTGGCTCGGAGGCTGTCACGCAGCTGCCCCGGGCAGGTGTCTTAGTTGCAACTTGGATCACAGCACAAGACCCAGAGAGCGGGACTTCTCGATTACAGGGCTCCCTCACCTGGTCCCTGCTAGAAGTTCTGAGAAAAAGGTTACAACTTGATCCTGGAGGGCTAAGGTATGCTCTCTCCTGGGATACCCCAAATCCTGCAGCTGCGAGAAACCCTGAGGTCCAAACAAAACACAGGGCCATTTTGAAATTTCAGAAGACAACTTTATCCAGACAGGAAACTCAAACAGAACAGAGAAAAGTTAGGCAGCAGTTATTAAAATACGCTCTTTGCCAGATGACTTAACAATGCAACAGGAGCAGGGTCAGTGCCCGTGCAGGGCCTGAGCCAACACCCTCATATTGCCCAGTGGGGGACATGAGAGTCTCATTCCCTTCCCCACCAAGTCCGTACCTTTACTCCCTACCCCCACAGCATCAATCCTAAGGGGAGGTCACTGCCACCTGGGTTGTCAGCAAGCGGGGTGAGCCCGGGCTTTCTGGGGTATCTACGGCAGTAGGAAAATTACATGGGCAGGCTGCTTTAGGTATAGGCCAAAGTTCTTTGGTCAGCAGAGCCCAGATAAAAAGGGCATCTGCCAGGTAAACCTGTTAGAGGCGGAGTCCTTGGAAGTCATGCAGATCCCACCTTCTGGCCCAAGCAGGGGAATTCAGGCCTGTGGGACCTTCTCAGGCAGGGCAAGTGCCCTACCCCCATGGATAAGCCCACATAGGTTGATGCCATCCTGGGAGGGCTTCTGTGGGGATGGAATCTCGGGGCACGTCTTGAGCTTATGTCCTCAGGAAGCACAGCAGGGCACCAAGAGGTGGTTTAGATGATGGCAGTAGGACCCCCAAGGAACCAGGCAGGCCAAGAGGGACCAGAACCTCTTAGGCATCCTCTGGGCAGCTCTGTGTCTACTTCCAGGGCTGGACCAGATTACAGGCCTCATGCTTCTTGGGGCCAGCTCAGCAGTGCTCCTGCTGGGGGGCTGGGCTCAGACCACAGGGAGTCCTACTTAGTACCCAGTAATGGCTACAGAAAAGGCCCAGTTGTAAAGACATACAGGCCCTGGTAGCTGCCAAGACAGCCTTGATGCCAGAGAGGCAAATGGAAAGTAGCTGTGAGACCACAACACACATTGCCGTGTCCAGATGTTCATAGTTAAACTGCAAGACAGGGTTGGGACCCTTTTCCCCGTGCTCAAACACCTCCCAGGCACCTTTGTGGGACTGGGTGTTGGGCACTGTCCTCAGCAGGAAGCTCCCCTTAGCAGGGATGCAAACAACCCTTTCAGAATTTGTGAAGCCCAGTGACCATGTCCTCCCATCACAGGTCTTGGCCCTGAACTGCTGGTCTGGTCCTGGCTCAACCCTCATCCTCTCAATGGCCAGGAAGTGGCTTTTCCAAGAGAACCAAGTCTTCCTTCAAGGTCTGCCCCATACTATCCCAGTAATCAGACTCCCCTGCCACCTCCCTGTCCCCCTTACTGGAGTGTTAATACAGTTAATGTACAAATAAAACCCAAAGGCATACTGAGGATCAATAAAGAGTAGGCTCTGCCCTCCCGGGGCACTGCACAGTTAGGGGCACACAGGCCTTCCGGGGGTTAGCTGAGAATGAGCCGTTCAGCATCTACAGGGGTCACTGAGAATTTATGGTTTCATTTGGCCCAAAAATACACCTTTGGGGGCCTCAAATTATCTTTCAAAAAAGTACTAGACATATGAATTTGAACGTTTCCCCACCCCCAGATCCCTTCCACCACCCCTGGGTTCCTCCCAGGAGATCCAAAGTGAAAAATGAGTCTGTTCCACTCCGGTCTTTCCACAGCTGGCTCTGCTTCTCTGGGGGCTGCAGTTCTGATGTGAATGACAGTGATGTTCCAGCACAGAGACCTCAGCTGGCTGCGGTCACATGATCGCACAGCAGGAGTTTTGTTTCCGGGCCTTGAAAAAGAAAAAAAAAAAAAAAAAAAGGAGCTGAAGAGGTGGACTTCAGAAACCCTCCCACCCCTGCACAGACAGTAGATGGGCCCCACTGAGTCAGAGCAATTGCAATCATGAAGGAGAGAGAGGGACAGAAAAACTACTCTCATATCCTTAAGTCCTCTGAGAAAGCAATGTAGAAGCAGTTCGTACCTGAAAGATAATTTTGTCAACACCCTAATAATGCTATCCATGAGTGGGTAAAATTCCTGCTCTTAGGTAAGGCACAAAGACACAAAAATGTTAACGGGACTGGCTGGGTACCTTAACCTGACCCCGTACAATGACCCCCGCCTGGGGTAGCGTTTCTTGCTGAGGATGTCTTCGAGACCGTATCCGTCCCCACTTGGTTGATAGGGAGCCTGCTACCTTCTCTCTTCTTTCTTCCTGGTCCCATTCTCGCTAACTCCACGGGCCATCACCGCCCTCCAAGGCTCATATAAGAGCAAACTGCGAGATACTTCTGCCAAAGGGAAAGCACTAGAGGCATAAGAACCCCTTTGAAAGGCTAAGCTGCTGATGTTGCAGTGACACGCACCTAACTACTCCTAGGCAGCAGGAATAAGGGTCAACCTCTGGAGACAGAACCTGAACTAGTCTTGTCTTTCTGGGAGCAGTAGCCTGGAGGAGGGGTGGTATGTGAGGGTGCACTGCACAGTTAGGGTCAAGTCTGCTGCTGCTGACTGGGCACTTACCTGCACAGAACATTACAAGAAACATTCTAGTTTAGCAGAGAGTATCACAGAAACATCTGTTGTCCGAAAGGGCGCCCAGGGGCTAGGACTCACCGTTTTGTAGAAGGCTTTAGACTGTGTTCCCAGCACTTCAGATTTGGACACTAGGTCATCGAGCTTCTCACCTCGCTCCAACAAAGATTCCATGGTGTTGTGCTGGACAAAAGGAGAAAGGAAAGAAATCTTTGGACTGGTCACCAAGCGAGCTGACCAAAGTGGTTTAGATAACCACACTCGGAGACAGACTGCTTACAGCTGTATTTACACACACATATTCCTACTGGGCAGAAGGCTTCCCACTTCCTAAGAGAACTGTGTCAAACGTCATGACTACCAACTCTCCAGAGCATCTGTGCATTTGGGAAGTCTGAGCACACCTCAGGCCCTTTGAAGGGGTGAGGGGATGGAGGCTCTCGGCTCTGCTGCCAGGACTATTAGGAAGCAGCTGGCTTGCTTCCTCCCTGTACAGCCATTGCCAGAGTAGCTGCAAGGCCTCGTGAGAACAAGTAGGAGGAACTTAAGTATGCATATGTGAAATGGCGCAGGATGAGAAGTGAGCAAAACCATCCTCTACTGCTTCACACATCTGAACAACTCAGATCTCTAATATAGAAAGTTAACTAGACTAAGACAGAAATGGGATGAGGGAGTATGACCAATAATTCAGCTACAACAGGGCTGGTGACTGAGACCAATCTGCTCTCTGCAGTGGAGGGAAGGGCAGTGTGTGGGTGTCCCCAGGCTCAGAGTCTCAAGCAGCAGAAGGAAGAGACAGGGTTTAGGAAACGTGGAGAATTGTGTTACAAATGATAGGTGCCTGAACTGTCACATCTAACTTTCACGCCAAAGCCTCAAAACCATTCTTCAGGCATGGGTCCACAAGACTTTCTATGGAGTGCAGGTGCCTGGGTCCACCTCGGACCTGATGCCTGGTGTTCAGAGTGAAGGTGATCGGGAAGCAAAGGGATCAGTTAGAGGCAGAGGCCACTAGGACCAAATCTGAGGGGAAAATAGATGCTTTTGATGTGCCAAACAGAGCTCAGCATTAAAAAACAAACAAACAAACAAAAAAAAGTTGAAACAACAGTTATAAAGCAGGAGATTTCAGTAAGAATGCAGGGTTCCCACGCTTTTAAAACAGGACCCGGGGGCCTCCCTGGTGGCGCTGGCGGTTGAGAGCCACACTATGAAGCTGTCTACAGCCTCTGCAGCGCGGGTTTGATCCTGGCCGGTCGGCGAGAATCCCACATGGCGCAGATGTCTCCTGTCTCGCCCGCTGCTTCCCGCAGCAGTGTATTTCGTCAGTCTGCCTGTTCTGTTCCCCGCTCTGTCTCTGGTGAATCCTCTCACCCTCCTGTGCATCTGGCCTGTACCCCGGTTCTTGTATAAATAAAATAAAATCTTTGAAAAAATATATATAAAAATAGGACCTTCTGGGGCTTCCCTGGTGGCACAAGGAATTAAGACACAGCACTATGAAGCTACTGCAGCCCCTGCAGCACGAGTTCGATCCCAGACCAGGGAGGTGACCCACATGGAGAAGCAGACCACTCCTGTCTCGCTCGCTACTCCCCTCAGCAGTTTATTTCAGTCAATCTGTCTATTCTGTTCCCCACACCATCTCTGGTGAATCCTCTCACCCTCCACACCTCTGGCCTGTGCCCTAGTTCTTGAATGCATAAATAAATCTTAAAAATAAATAAATAAATACAACAGGACCTCTTGACCTATGGGCCTGAATTCAAGTTATGTGCATATGCTCAGTCTGCCTCTTCTACCCAGGCCTAGAAGGGAGATGCCTGCTGGGCTCCGAGACAAACTGAAGGAGGCACGATGACAGAGTTTCAACCTTTCAAACCCCGCCACTGCCTAGACGGGGTGGCAGGAGGGGAACCAAGGGTCACATCAGCTCCCAGGCTGGTCCCTGCACAACGGGTGCGTTAATAAGGTGGGGTCAGGAGGTGCAGATCAGGAGTTGCCTGAGTTTGGCTTGAGGCCTCTGATGCACAGGGAGTGGGGACAATCACCATTTTCAGAGACGGGCTTCCTGTATGATTCACACAGGCACTGACTCTGTGCATGCCTGGCTGCTGGCAAGTCTTTTTGCCCCTCAGTTTTGGCATTTGCTCTCCCACCTTCTTGCTTACCAGAATGATTTTGGTCTCATCTAGTTCAGCCTGCACTTTAGTCATGGGGTCAGCTTCTCGGGGGTTCTAGGTAAGAATCAAAAATAAGGGTAACGTCAGGACAGAAGTGACCATCTGAAAAGTTAAAAACTGGGCAAGAGGACACACTTTCACAAGTTAAAAACCACAGACTGTTCAAACACATGTCAGAGAAGCAAAAGTCTGCCTCAGAGCAGAGATTTCAGGTTTTGATGCAGCTCCTCACATTTATCAAAGGGACACCAACACCAATGCTATCTGGAAGTCACCCAGAGTCATAGGTATTTTCTGTTTCATGTGGTTCTGGGTCACAAGGTCTCCACACAAGGTTTCTTTATACTCTACCTGGTATTTACTAAGGTGATAGCCCAGGGCTTCATAGTTGATGTTAGCAGGGTTTCCATCTGGCCAATCTATCCTGTTAACCTGCGTGGTGAATTCATCTAGTACCTGTAAGACAAAGTAGCTCATAACACCTCACCTTCCATAGATACCTTCCACAGAAACAGGGATGACTCAAAAGCCTCACACCTAAGAAGCTCTCAGGCCCTTAGGGCCCAAGAAGGAGGGAAAGGAAGACAACTAATGCCACAGGTAAAATGTAGGCTCGAGTTCCTCCTTTTCAAGTAACTTGGAAATTAAAAATGAAGTATGCTCAGTTTGAGATGACCCTCACCTAGTAAATGATTAAAAAAATTAGGATTTTAAACTGCAGATTTCCAACTTTATTAGGTTATGCTTTTCCAGGAAAAAGGGTCATGGCCCTATTTTTCCAAAGGCAATTCTTTAAAAATGGGATTTAAATCCTTTGAATTGAAGCAACCAATGGATTTCATGCGCTTATCAGTGTGTTACTGCTCTAGGGGTCAAGGTGTGGTCAATGTCGTTTCGGAGTCTGCATCAGCACCATGTGAAGAAATTGAAGAACAACACAGAAGTCCTAAGTGTCATGGTGGGGGGACCTGGGTGTGTAAGAGGATGGCCTGACAAAAGGGAGAGGGATCACAGAGCACGGGGCCACAGAGCATGGAGTCTGAGCCTGAGAGTCATGACTACTGAGGGCAGAGGCAGGAAGAGTGGTGACTAGAGGAGTGAAGCGGTGAGACCAAAGTCGGCCCTTACCCAGGCCCACCCCGGGAGAGATGCTGTGACTCAGGCAGACAGCAGAATCAATAGTGGCACTAGGGACACTAGTCTGGACACCGGTTGGATGAGGGTGGAAATCAGCACCAGAAGGCACCTGCGGGGGGATGTTAAGACTGTTTCTCAGTTTAGGCTGAGGAGAAAAGCTGAAAATGGGTTGATATGGGACACACTATTTCATCCTTTACACCTTGAGCACTGTCATCACTCCTGGCCCTGGTTTATACCAGTCATCAACTCTGGTCCAGTCAAACCACAAACTCACCTTTTCCAACAAGGTAAAAGCCACCCGGGATGGATATTCACTGTCAGCAATGACCACTCCTGCGAGACTGTCATTTCGCACATAGACATGGCACAGGTATTCTAAGGAGATAAAGAGGCCAGACACACAAAGGATAACAGGAGGGCCTTACGTTAACTTATCAAATCAGTCAAAACATCACAATGCCGGGCCCCTGCCTTTTGGATCAATGAAGTCACACTGAGCAATGTTTGTGGACAGGTCCTGTAGACAGCTCAGTGGAACTCACCTAGAATGGTGCACAGAAGGGCTCTATAGTCCGCTTGGCCTGACACCTGCTTTTGGACAAGTAAATGCCCAGAGGCCTAGTGTGCAAAGCCAGGGTCTAAAGGAGTTGCCAAAGGTGCAGAAAACACATCCCAGACAATATGGCCATAGTGCCTTCCAAGTCACACCACTAAGCTCTAGGTCAGACAGGCTGTGTCTTGAAGAGCTGCAGCCCTCAGGGGCTCTGCTCTGTTCCAAGGCAAGGGAACCCTGGACAAACTAAGTAGCCTCTACTGAGAGTGGCCAAAGTCAAGAAATCACCTCTCAGGGTCTCAGGCTTCCTTATTACAGCAACCCTGCCCAGCCTGCTTCATTTTGTGGAGGACCATAGTAGTGGTGGAAGGTAAAGAGGGAGAAAGAAGGCACACATAGGAAGAAAAAAAATTAGCTACTGCTAGAATTGCTGTGTACCTCTCTATAGGTACAGTCTGTATAAGGGTTTATGCAGAGTATTCACAATCCACAGGATTAATTTTCATCTCTTTGAAAGTCACTCTATCAAATCATCACTGTATCTAGCCATACTCCCAAAGTAAAAGGAATGTAAGGATAAAGGTATCCTTATATCTTAAGATATTCCCAAGGTAAAAGGAACAGCTGAAGAATATAAACTTTAAGCAGTCCTTAAGACTGCTGCCCAAAAGGTTCCACTGCTAACAGACAAGGAGAGAGGGAACCGTGAGCCCCTGAAATCTGAAAAGGATAGAGATAAATGATAACAGGGACAAGGAGGAAGATTAGGGGATCATCACAAACACACTCCAGATTTTGTATAATTCCCATAGAAGATTCAAATGTGGGGGTCAAAGTACATACACTCCATTGAACCTGAGATGAAAAGTGACCTCTGCACTCATATAGTAAGGAGTCGCTGCTTCTTGGTTTCATTCCTTTCCCTCCCAACCTCAATAACAAATACTCTGTAGATCAACACAATTACAGATAATTACAAATCACCACAAGCATTCAAACCACATCTGCTGCTTCCACCCACTTCAGTATCTGAGAAAATGTCTTCAAGTAATATAGCTGGGAAGGCAGACATAGGAAAACTGAGAATACTTAATTGTCCGTGAACAAATTGCACTTGTGGGCTGTGAACACCACAGAGATCCCACAAAGAATACACACACTCAACATAGCCAGCACAGCAACTGATATTTACATCACTGATACAGTCCTTCCACGTTATACGACCCAAGGTCAGCACAAAGTGCAATGGTTCCTTTTCTGTACAATAAAATTCATATACACCTTTCAGATGTGTCTTTATTACAACTGCTTAAAAATTCTTACAGGAAACCTGAACTATGAAGATGGAGAAGTAACAGTCAAGAAGAAAACATAATGAGTTTTCAGATTTCTAGTTAAAAACCTAAGGAGTACAGAATGCAGTATTACCTCAACAGGGCTAGCCGGAAATCCTTACTTGAGAGGTCTACAACTCTGGAGGAGAAAGAAGATACAACAGAAGGATGCTTATTGCTCCAAGAGAGTCTTAAGTAAGTCCAAACTTTGAGTGTGACTTTATCCAGGCAGCTTAGACATCAATGGTGAGCACAGAATTTTATGTAAATAGAAAAAGGAGGGGAGAGAAAGCTGGCGAAGCACAGGGTTCTGGAAGCCCTCTCCATGGTGAGCAGAGAGCTCATGCTGAGAGCTGCAGGCTGCCTAAGGTGTGATGGGGGGTAGCACAACTCACAAGTTGCCAGGTCCTCTTACCTTGTTCTTTGACAGAAGCTCTGCTGCCTTTCGCTGAGCGCTCCACAATCAGCTGACTTGTGAAGGTCATGAATTCCTGAACACTAAGAAACACAACACATGTTACCTAGTCCCATTGCCTCGTACCCAATATGATGCAGAGTGCTCTCTGAGTATCCACAGTAAGGAGACACTGCTTCCTGGTTTCATTCCTTTCCCTCCCAACCTCAATAACAAACACTCTGTAGATCAACGCAAATGCAAATAATTACAAATCACCACAACCCTTCAAATCACATTTGTTGGTTTCACCCACTTTTGGGTAATTTTCTACATTTCGGTCAGAGTATGATTTGGGAAACTGTAGAGACAGAAGCCAGGTCCTGTTCCTGAGCTTCACTAACTTCCAAGAAGCAAGATAAATAAACTGCATTAGAAAAGCAGTGGTAAAAACTTCAGCAGAAGTTTTGGCTGTGGCCACACAGTGAATACTGAAATACCACACACACCTGCAGTGAATGCTGACTCTGCCAGAGAACAGAGCCTCGGGTCTGCAGGGCACTTGGAGGGAATGGAAAGCAACAGCTCAGCCAAGACAAGAATGTGGGAAATGGCTTGTACAAAGGCTGAAAGTGAGAAAGAGATTCATGGGCCCGTCATAAAGATCTGGACAGAAAGGACAGTCACAGGTGACACAACAGTGCAGTCAGAGGAAAAGAGGCCAATAAGAAACCTCTGACTGGGAATGCCACAAACAGCATCAGAGCAGGATGGAGTCCAGAAGAGGGCTCTAGCAGATGTGCAAGCTTTGACACCACACTGAGTGTCATGCAGAAGAACAGAGCCTCAGGTCTGCAGGGTACTTGGAGGGATGGAGACCCTCCTCCCCCCAACTCTGAAATGAACTTCCCTGCTGGGATCCCATCTCCACTGCTTACAAGATGGGTGACTTCAGGTACTACCTGTACTGTGCCTTAGCTATAAGAGCAAGATTTGTTGTGACCATTAAATGAATTAATATGGTAAAGCTTAGCACAACACCTGGTACATAGTATTACTTGCTACTATAATCTTGAGAGTGTTATGATTAAAACAGTCCCTTAGAAGTCTCAGGATAAGAAATCCTTGCAGTAAAACTAAAAAGAAATGAGCTTAGAGTAGAACTGTAACTAGACAAAGGAAGAACTACATTCACTGAAAAAGTCTTCTACAAGGGTTAGAGAAGCCAGGAAACCATGCAAAGGTTTTAAGCTTGGAATCTGGTAATCATGGGGCAGAAGTGAAAAGGACAGAAGTGAAAAGGACAGAAGGACAGAAGTGAAAGGACAGAAGTGAAAAGACCTTATGAGAAAATCACTGCGCTCAGTTGGAGTGTATTATTTTCAGAGACACTAGTAGAGGTCCCTATAACAGTGCAGTTGTGTGAATCATCTGAAACTGGTATGGCATCCCAAATCAGTGAGGTAAAGTCCTACAGTGAAACTGGAAAAGAAAAAGAATCACAGCCAATCTGGCACCAAAAGTCCCACCAGAGAAGAGCTACTATCACAGAACAGAGAATAGGGCCAAGACAAAGAAAGCTAAGCAGCAAGATCAAGAAGGATGCGAAAGCAGCAGAAAGTTTCGACAAAATAAGAACAGAAATTGTTTTTAGATCCTGACAGCAAGTCACTCTCATCAAGAACAAAACAGTAGCACTGAAGTAGTGAAAACAATCGAGTGGCAAATTCCACCAGAGATGGACTTGTAGACGCACTGTAGGGTCCTTTTCCTTTTGTGTCTGAATCACTGTACCACTCCCACAGGGGCTGGAAGTGTCTGTGGTAATTCTCATACATTCTTGCAATTAAAGTGCCCCATGGGAAAAAGTAAAGCTTGCAAGCCTTACAAATCCCAAGCTTCATCCCAAATCTTCAGTGTTTTGTATCACTAGTGGCCAATTATAAGAAGCATACAATTTGGGTTTGAGTCTTGGCTGGATGTGGTATAACTTCTTGGACCTCAGTGATTTCATCCATATAAAAGGGAGAGTATATCAATATCTCTCTTACTAAATAGTTGGAGAATCCCACCAAGTAATATAATCGTGACTCTCAAGGTATGCACCCGAGATGCCTGGGTAACATTCACTGGACGTGTGTGTGTGTTCCAGTTACGTGTGTGTGTCGGAAACTGCACTTTTACAAAGCCTACTTACAATTTTCATACGACAGGTATTTGAAAAAGAGTATGAAGGCATAGCCTAGAATAGTGTAAGCCTTTTTACGAGAGAAAGGGGAATGAGTCCTCAGTTACAGCCAACAGACGGAGGAAGAGCCCAAGCCTGGCTCCAGTACGGAAGGCTAAGTGGATTCCGGGGCCTCTTCCAATTACGGGCTTCAGTTGGCCCCTACCTCAGGGTCCCCAGACCTTTGGTCCTCCCAAAGCTCGCCTCCTGGACCTCGGAACTCCCCAGGCCCCGACCCAGGTCTCCCTCTACCGTCCCTGACCCGGGGCCTCTCCCGGCCTCTGGTCTCCGCCAACCCTACCCTCCGCCACCCCCGGGCCTCCGCAGACCCCGAGCTCCCCGACCCTGCCCGATCCCGAGGCCTCCCCAACCGGAACCATGGAACCGCCCACCTGGGTTCGCTCACCTGGACCTCTGGAAGAAGCTGAAGGAGGACACATCGTACGCGGCTTTGAGCAGCACCGCCTTGTTCTCGCCTTTGTAGAGGACGCTGAGGCTGTACAGCTTCATGGCGCCGCGTCCTCGGGTACACCGCCCGCCGCGGGCCCCGCTGGCAGCAGCAGCACAGTCACCGCCCCTCGGCTGCTGACGGGGCCAACGCCGCCTTCCTTCTGGCTCGGCGTCCACTTCCGGTTCCGGTTTGGGGCCTCAGCCCGAAGACTAACGGAGGTTTTCGTGCCCCGGATGAAGAGGGGAGGAACCGGAAATACGCAACGAGGGGCGGGGCGCCAGGCAACGCATTTGTGTGAGCCCAGCCCCGGTTCCGCCCCCGGGGCGGTCCTGGCTCTGCTGCCGCTTCCGGGCGCGTCCCGCCCCCTCCCCGCGGTCCTGAGGGCTCAGGTCCCTGTCGCCCGTCGCCCCTCTCTGAGCGACAGGAGCCACAGCAACGTCCATACACCTGCTCTATAAACGCTAAACAAGGAGCTTTGGTTTATGGGAAATACCTTTGTGGGAAGTGTTTTTTAAATGAAATATTTTGTGTGAAAGGCAAGGACTTCCCTTGTAGGCTCCTTGGGGGTATGAAAGCTTGCCTCGTGTCTCCAGACGATTCCTCACGTGCCCCTCCACACCTTCCCTTGATAGTGTGGGAGGCAATCCCTGCTTGTACAGGATCCCTCAGCACAAGCCTGCCTACCCCTGTAAAAAAAGCCCACTAAGCACTGATTTAGGCAACAAACTGCTGACCTCCAAAGAGAAATAGAACTGCCTCACCTCAAAAGGGGCAGCAATTCTCCACACTGAGGGAGCAATTTGGCGCACAATGACTTGGATGGCCTCATTTTCTTGGTGGAAGCAATACTTTGTCAAGGGATGGGGCTAAACAAGGCACAGTTCCCTAACGGTACCACATCCTGCCCATTTCTTGTTCATTAAATGGCATCATGTAATCAGAATGGGTTTTACAGAACACACACATAAATGAACTTTCACATAAAAGAATTTTAGTCTTTGGAAATTGGCAGTAAGTCTACACAGTCATTATTTAGAAGCAGTCTGATCTGAGATGATGGGAAAGAGATGATATATTTGAAAAATCAACAGCAGTACTCTAAACATTACTCTAAATCAAGGCTTCTCAACCTTAGCATTATTGACATCATCCAACAGTTGGAAAACTCTGTTGTGGGGGGCTGTCCCTTGCATCAAAGGCAGAAACTCAGGCCTGTACCCACTAGATGTCAGTAGCATCTCACCTGTCACATAGCAACCCAAAATATCTCTGGACATGACCAATGTGCCTGGGGGAGTGATGGTTTAAGAGACCCATTGATTTAAATATTTCTCTGACTTAAAGAAGTTCCTTCTACCTGCCTTTTCCCTCAGCGCCTACCTTTCCAACCTCTTCCCTGAGTATTTCCCAGTGCAGAAGGTGGAAAGAGCTTTTCCACATCCCTCCATTTGGATATTAAACCTCAAGAAGAGATATCAGGGCCTCCCTGGTGGCGCAGCGGTTGAGCACTGGGCTGAAGGCCACCGGGCCGCCAGGCGAGTGTCCCACATGGCAGCAACAGACCTCTTCTGCCGTGCTCGCTGCGCCCCTCAGCAGTGTGCTTCATTGGTCTGCCTGTTCTGCTCCCTGCTCTGGCTCTGGTGAGTTCTCTCACCGCCCCCTACCCCCACCCCATGCTTCTGACTGTACCCAGTGCTTGTATAAATAAATAAATAAATAAATAAATAAATAAATAAATAAATAAATCTTTAAAAAAACAAAAAAAAAGACGAGATATCAGTCAACGCCAGTCACCCAACCACAAATGTAGGCATACTAGCCCGCCATTGGGTTCACATGATGACAGAACAACCCATCCCAGCTGTGCTGATACAGTCAACCTGTAGAGGATGGATGTGGGGGCTGTTTTTGAAGAAAACCCCTGGAGTCACTAAAAGTTGTGCAAAAAGACTGGAGAGCAGTGTTTGGTTGGAATTGATTTAAATGGATTCACTTGACACATAGTAGTAGTTGTCCTGAAGTTTCCCTTACACCAAGCACTTTCCATGTTTTGCCTCATTTAATCCTTCTTACAGACATGGAAACAGATTCAGATGAAGTAAGATGTCAATACCAAGACAGAACGAGCTGTCTCACAGCCCAGCTCTACTCCCGGCTGCTTTCCCCCATTCTCAATACTTGCTCAGCTGCCATTGCCCAAGGAAGCCTCACTTATGGCTGCAAACTCCCCAGCCTTATTTATCTTACTGAAAAGGAACACTCATCTTCCACTCCATCACCCCAAATATCAACCAGATTGGATTTCGTTCTGGCACTGCAATAAACTATAAAAGTAAACAACTTGCTAACCTCTCTGAGACTCTCTCTTGACCCTCCCCTCTTAACACCCCCTCTCCCTTCCTGCCCACTCATTCTTTCATCTGTAAAATGAAAAATATCCTTTCCATAGGCATGTTGCTGGGAATAAGACAAGTTCCAGTCACAGTAGATGTTTAACAAGTAACAACAAAGATGATTACGTGTATAGTCATTATTAGTAACAAAAAGGAGGTGAGATCATCTTTTTTTCTTTTCCCTTAAGGTTTGATACTTTTCTGTAAAGACTCTGAGTAGTTTCTCATAAGCCTTGGTCCTCAGTTCCCAAAAGATCCCAAAGTGTACCTTTTAGCTCAGACTAGCTGCAGTTCCAGAATTGGCTTCATGGCATGCCTTTATGGCATGCCTGCAAGGTGACCAGAGCAGAGCTATTCTTATATAACAGAGAAAGAAAACAATGGAATACAGCATTACAAGTCAGTGGGGAAAGGCTAGACTACCAGCAAGTATTAGACTCCTATCTCATACCACACACAAAATGGATTCCAGAAGGACTAAAGTATTGAACATTAAAAAGGGGAAAAAATTAGAAAGAAATATGGCAGAATATTTTTACAGATTGGGGGTTGTAAGTATTATTTTAACAAGTGTGACTATCAAAAGTAGAAATCAAAAATTGACATTTATAAGAAGTACATACTGCTATGTGATGAAAGACATTATTAACCAAGTCATAAATTTAGCAACCGATTTGGGGAGATATTATAGCTATTTGGAAAAGGATTAATGATATGATAGATGGAAAATAAAAATATACAAATTGTTAGGTAAAAGACAATTCAGTAATAAAAGTTAAATAATACAAAAAATCATTTTTAGAAAAAGAAGTACAAATTACCATTAAATTTAGAAAAAGGTGTCTAGCATTTTGCAATTCTAACAATGAGATGTCAGATCAGCAAACAATTATAAAAATTTCTCATCTCAAGGATTGGCTGACATACAGTCAAACTCTTAATGTTGTGGAAGGATAATAAATTGATTTGAGGAGGATAATAAACCACTTGAGGAGGCAATGTGGTCCTAGCTACCCAAATGTAAGATGTGCACAACATTTGACTTCCAAGTCAGCATCTAGGAGCCGTCCAGAAGAAACACAGGCAATTGAAATACAAAGATTTGTATCAGAGAAGAAGTAAAACTGCCAAGATGACCATCAATAGGAAACTGGTTTTTAAAATGCTGCATCACTTCTATCAGGAGAGGTTTCACTGGCCACTCCTACACCCTCTCCTGGATCTCTGCCCTCGTTGGTCTGTGCTACACTGTTCAAGATAGCAGACACACTGACCACTTATAATGTGCCCTGTCCCAACTGAGAATGTGCTCTATACAGCAGACATCAGAGTTTTAAGCCAAAAACACCTATTGGGATCCTCTGTGGTCTCCCACATTTTCCTCCCTGGGCTAGCAGCAGAGTCAGCTCCAGCACCATAGCTTCCTCCCACTCCATCTCCAGGGTTTTCCTCCTGCTGGTGTGAGTGGGTATGAGTGGGCATGAATGGGAGTGGGTGGGTGTGCATGCATCGGAGCTGGGGAATTACCTGAGTGGGGAAGGGGCGGATCCTAGCCCCAGCCTCTGTTCTGATTGGGCCCACCATTCCAATTCAGGTTTCAAGAAGATAAGCAAGGAAAGCGATAACAAAACTCACTGGTGGTCTGGGCTTGCGTGGCAGTGCTGGTTGTTCAAGCCCAGATGGCAATGCTGGTGACCAAGTAGCCTCTTCCCTTACCTCTCTGGTTCTCAGACTCACAGGGGCCTCTGCTCCTTAAGGCTGAGGCTGGGAGACCCTGTGACCCAGCCCTGTGACAGGTGGCAAAGTCTGCAGTGACCAGGTGATTGGGCTGTCGCTATGGTGATGGGGATGGAACCTTTTGCCATCAGCTCCAGTTTTCTGCATGGCAGCTCTAATGACAGGATGGTCAGCCCTGCTGAGGCCAGAGAGCATGAGCGCAGAGGCCCTGTTCCTGGTTGCCATAGCAGCCACAGGCCCTCTCTCCAGCTCAGAAGGCCCTGGCAGAAGTCCCCACTCCACACCTGGTCAGAGCAGGAAGTGTTGAGCAGTGACTGAGCCATGGAGAAACAGGTTGGGATGTGAGAGCAACACAGTCACCTGTGGCCTAATTATTCAAAAGCTGTCTCCACACCAGGGGAGAGGACCTTTTCTGCTGAGTCTGTCTAAGAACACTGCCCTCACAGCTCAGCTCAGCTGGAGAGAAGGCTGACCAACACCGAGGACGCGCCTCAGAACCCAGCGATGGTCCTGCTCCTACGACGCCCTGCCTGACACGTCCTTAGCAGGGAAGGGTTCCAGGTGTGGTCCAGAAGAGAAGGATTTCCAGCTTTCAGGAGAACAATGAAAAGGAAGAAACTGTAATTGAATCTCAAGCCAGAAAACAGCTGGAAGGTGGACCTTAGTCTCCCAGGTCCTGGGCTGGCTGTGACCCTTGGTTGGGAGAAGCCTTGGGATATTGCTGCTTCAGAAAACTTTTGGGGAACGCTGAGGGGGTCCCAGCTCACTTGGGCTGGGTTGGCTGCTGTACAAATGCTGGATGACAGAGCCAGGATGGAGAGCGCCAAGAAGGAAAAGGTAGTTTGCTGCCTCACTGGGTTTTCTAGGAAGTGTTTATTGTGTGTTCCCAACGTTTGGTGGTTTGTTTATCAGGGGCAAGCATTTGTGCCTCAGGATTTGCTTTTATGCATAGGCCCTTTAAGGAAGAGGTGCTGAGGTGAATTGTGGGACACTAACTTTCTTGGCAGAAGATCCGTCTTCCTAGCAGACTGGTCCCTCTCCCCACTGCTTCAGATTCAGCCCTGTGACCTTGAAGTTAGGTCTGGGAAGTGGCCTCTGTTGGTAGAGAGTCTGGGGAGTTAGAGCTGCAGCTAAGGTGCTTGAGGGCATAGGGTCTTATGGGCAGAACCAGCTGCTTAGCCTTGAGACAACACAGGCATCATGATAGGTCCAGCAGCCCACCGTGCCTACAGGAGCCTCTTCTAAGGAACTGAGGGCCCTTGTTCCTGGCAATCAGCAGAGAGCAGCTACTTTTTTACATCAAAAAAAAGAAGAAAGGAAAAATTTATGTATCCTATGAGCATCCTGTTGTCAGAGCAGTGAGCAAAGACACTGGGCTGGGTCAGGGCACACAGGAGAGCACACCAGTGGGGTTGGAGTGGAGAAGAACAGGAGGCCCAGGGCCTAGTCCTTTTCCAGGGTTTTCCTCCTTGTACATCTTTCCTTCGTCTGTGAAATGACAAGGTCAGCATAAATACTGGTCTGGTCTTCTGGCAGAGCTAATGGTGATAGGAGGAAAACAACCAGCCTAAACCAGGGGTCCCTGAGCCTCAGGCAACCAGATGGGCGAAGGCTATAACTGAGTTCTGTGTCTGTCACTGGGGTTTTGACAGGCATTTGGATGAGAATTCCTGTCTATAGGAGCTGTGTGGGGCTGCCTGGGCAGAAAGGAGCCATAGCAGAAAGAAGCCACAGCAGAAAGGCTTGGCAACAGTGAAAGGTGGGGCCTGTGGCTTGCTGTGGAGAATCAGCACTTTCTCCAACTGGGAAGAGACGGCACTCTGGCACACATGCTTGTGTGCATGTGTGTGCATGTGTATACCAAATCACTCAGTAAAGGCCTAGCAGTGCTATTCCTCAGCTCGCTGCATTCTCTGGCTTATGCAGGAGCCTGCTGCCTACTGCTGAGCATGCACTCTCAGACTCAGGCTGGCCCACACCCCTTCCCCTTTGTCCCAGGGATTCTGTGCTCTACATGATAAACCATTTCAGTTCCAAGGTGCGGGTTGTTGGTCCCAATCCAGAAACCTGTGCTAGCTCCCAATCTCTCTTTCTCTCTCTCTCTCTCTCTCTCTCTCTCTCTCTGTCTCTCTCTCTCTGTGTGTGTGTGTGTTTATGTGTCTGACACCCCTGTCAGGAATGAGAATAGAGGGAGAAACCACCTCTAGCATATACTTGGAGGGGGCACTAAGTTGAATAATATGCATTTAAGACAAATACTGCAATACAAATTCTATAGAATCAAAATCAATGCAAAGATTTATAATGAACAAAACCCTGGGAATTGCTATCCTTCCCCCAAGCCAGCTTTGGCTCAGCGCAGTGAGCAACACTTTAAAGTTGTCCCCAACAGGTCAGCTGGCTGTATCCACTGCAGACTCCAGGAGGAAAGCACTCTAGTTGATTTGGTGGGAGCCGAAGCTGCTGGTTTCTCTCCCCAACTTCTCCCCTGACTATTCTAACTCTGGTTCTCACCTGTTACCATGTCTCTGTGCAGGCGCGTGTGGCCACCATTTTCAGGGGGTTCCCTATGTGGATATCAGCTCCTACACAGTTTCTAGAGTTTCCTGGGGGAGGCTTGCTCCTCCTGCCATCCCTGTGCCCCTCCAGCCTTAGGCTGTCCAGTGCTCCACCAGGACTGATCCATCCCGCCGGCATGAAGCTCCATCTCTCCATGGGGCCACTTCTGGGTGGCCTGAAACTGAGCCCTGGGAATCCCCTCAGAAGTTCCTGGCCTCCACTTCCTCTCTCATCTGTGGCCCCTCTGCTGGCCCAGAACCCTGCAGGAAAGATGGGGCGTGATAGCAATACAGTTAGCTGAGTAGATTTGGGGAGTGCTTTTCAGGATGAACCCGGGGAAGGTGACACTTGGGGTGTTATAGTCTGCTCTGGCTGCCCTAGCAAAATACCACAGATTCAGCAACTTAACCAGTTCTGGAGACTGGAAGTCTGAGATCAGGGTGCCAGCATTGTTTGATAGTTGGGTTCTGGTGAGAGCCCTGTTCCCTGTTTACTGACTCTGCCTTCCCACTGTTTGCAAAGGGGGAGAGAGAGGGTGGGCATGAGAGAGGGAGGGGAAAGGAAGGGAGGCAGCACATTCTGGGCTCTTCCTCTCATGGGAACTCCATCCTCATAACCTCTTCTAACCCTAATCACCTCCCAAAGGTCCTACCTCCCAATATCATCACTCTGAGGGCTAGAGATTTGACATATAAATTGGGGGGGGGGCACAATTCAGAGCATAACAGGGAGCCAGCCTGGGAGAAAATACGTCCCTGTTCATCGCCACCACCCCCCTCCCACCCCTCAGCAACCCCATTGAAGGAGAGGCTCAGAAATGGAACAAAGTTGCATCCCTCTGGCAGGCCCCCCAGTTTCCCTTGCGGGACTTGTCACAGTTGTTTCTGGGCCCCAGCAGGAGACACCCCCACCCCTCCCGCTGTGTGGAGACAGCCTGCTGCTATCTCTTGACAGATGTTCAGGATCAAAGCCCCAGGTAGCTCCCAAGCAGGTGTGCTGGGAGCTGAGCCAGTGCAGAGGGCTCCTTTGAGTAGGGAGATGAAACTCCTTATGGGCAGGGCACTGAGTTGATCAGATGTGGCTTTGGCTAGTGTGGGGCTGGGCTGCGCCTGCCCACTAGTGGGCCCCTCTCACTGAGGAGCTGCTGACTCTGAGGTCATGCTCTAGCCTCACTGTCCCCACTCTAGAGGGCAGAAATCCATGAGGGGTCTGGCAGGTGATGAGAGCAGAGGCTGCCACACAGCTGCCTGTATCTGGGCCTCTGGTCCGGAAAGAGCACTAAAATTCCTAGCATGTCCCTGTGGAGGCGTTGGTGTCAGAGGCACCTCAAGGGCAGGAGCAGGCCAAGGAGACCCAGCAGTGAGATGCAACAGCCTTAACAAGATCCCAACCCGGCTGAGCCCAGCCTGCCTCCTGCCTCAGACCCAGAAGGCAGAATGGCAATGAAGAGAGGAACAAAATGCTCTTGGCCTCCTTCCTGCTTTTCTGCAGAACTGCCCCGAAGCCATTGTGAGGCAAGAGACATTAGCATTGTCTTACAGGAAGGCCCTTCCAGGGAAGGTTCTGGCCCTCATTTGGGGGCTGGGTCTCAGGCTTTGGGGGGCGTTCAGGCATGTTCCCCTTGTCCCCAGTCCCTCTGACAGAGAGATAGTCCTGCCCTGACCCCTCCACCTGTATCTTCCCTGTCTCTATCACCGAGTGGGTGTTGATTCTTCTTGTCCCTCTCAGGAGACAGTTCTCCCTCCCTCCCTCCCTCCCTCCCTCCCTCCCTCCCTCCCTCCTTCCCTCCCTCTCCCTCTCCCTTTTCTTCTCCCTCTCCCTCTCTCTTTCTCCCCTCACTCTATTTCTCCATTTCTTTTTCTCCTTCTCTGTGTGTTTCTGCCTATCTGTTCCTATTTTTCTGTCTATCTGTCTCTCTCTGCTTCTGTCTGTCACTCTTTTCTCATTTGGGTGCCCATTGAGAAGAGACCCCTCCATTATCCTGGAGGAGAGATGGGGGTGTGATAGCAATGGGGGCTGCACCCTTCCACATCACCCACCTTAGGGAAATGGGTCCCCCTCCCTGCTATGCATGTCCCCCCCCCAGACTGTAAGTCTTCTTGCTGCCACTCACTCTGTGGGCCCCTGCTCTCCTCAGCCTTGGGCTAAACTCTTGGATGTCCACCAAGGCTGGTGGATGAGGATCCATTTCTTTACTTCTGCTTTTAAGAATCACCCTGTTAGCCTTCTGACTTTAGGTATCTTTTTTTTAAGGTTTTTTTTTCTCTCTCCTTTTTTTTTTTTAAAGATTTATTTATTCATGTATACAAGAACCGGGGTACAGGCCGGATGTGCGGGAGGGTGAGAGGATTCACCAGAGACAGAGTGGGAGGCCCCTGACTTTAGATATCTTATTGTACCATCTCCTACCTGCCTCACCTTTTTCAGGGAAGTAGAATCCTTAGCCAAGTTTCATAAAGGTGCTGTCAGTGCTTTGGCTTGGGGAGAGAGGAAACTTCTGTCCCAGAATTGGATAACTTCCCGCTGGCTCAGAGCTGTTTTGCCTTTCAGTATAGTGTGCACATCTGTCTCTGTGGGCCATGGTTGCTCCTTTCTGCACAAGTTGAATTCCTGGCCCAGAGAAAGCCCCTTTCGCTCATGCTTCCTTTGGTCATCACTGCCAGAAGGTCCTAACTATTGTTCCAAGGGCAAACTTGAGGCTGGTGTTCCTGGACTCTGACCCTCCTGCAGGGGTCTCCCAGGGGCAGCTCAGAAAACACTTGACAGCATGTGCAGACACTGTGCTGGGTGCTGGGGTCCCACCAGCAGCTAAAACTCTCAGGAATGTGGGGTGTTAATAATTGTCCACCTGTTAGTGCACCCTGCTGGACCCTTAGGTGTCGCATTCCAGAATGCGATGGGAACTCTAGACACCAACTGTCAGTGGGAGCACTATGGCTTATTTAAAGCAAAAGAGCAAGAGACTGAGCTCCATGGAGACCACTTCAAAGACAAGAGGTTCTTCATCTGGGACCCAGTTATCTCCGCTTCTTATTTGCCTTGTTTTCCTCATTAATTTTTCTTTCCTTTGGTTGGTCAGGTCTAATAAATTCCCATTTTCTGGGCTTGGGCTCTCTGTGAAAATCTGAAAAGTACCTGAAATATACTGGAAATATACAATGAATTCTTTAGCGCCCCCCCCCCAGGAGGTCACGATAAGGACACTACAAGCCAATTTTGCAAAAGGGTAAGGGATGGGGTTCTAGAAGAGGCCTGCAGCTTCCCTAGCTTGTGGTCTC